TTACCTACAGGTGTCAGTGATCCATTCCTACCAGATACGAAAGCCAGTTGAGAAAAAGCATTGAGGATGTCACAGATGACCAGAGTTGGACCCATCGCTTTCGGCAGTGTTTGTCCACTGAAACAAGTGTGTTCAGCATTACTGTAGAAAGCCTACAGAAATATTCATTTTGGGGGTTTATATACCACTAAAGTACCTATTGCATTCACAACCGTTTTGACCGTGGATATGTAATCTGTACCGCTCTTAACCTTGAAATACTCTCGTCCCACGTTAAACACTTGTTTTGCAAAACCAAATAAACAGGTAAATGAGGATATTATTTCAGCAGGTGAGTATCGAAGAACTGTGAAAAATCACCTGATTTTCCATTTTAATGTCTCAAAATCACGTACTAGTTAGTGTCATCAGAACTTGTAACCGTGTAGGTGAGAGTAACATTCCTTTTACCCCCATTTCGTACTGCTTAATTTTTTCGAGAAAAGCTAGGATAAGGATTTTCAGTAGCTGTAGCTACCGACATGTGTTTTCATCTATGATTTCAAGATCATCATTCGTAAATGCTATCAACTCGTGGTTAGTAAACCCTCAAACTCATTTCGTCAATGTCATATGGATTGCTTTACTTCAACGATAACGTTAATTGTCAGTGGTTATCCTCTAGTATATCCAATCAGGCAATCTAAAATGACAACTAACTACATCAACACTGTTCAAAGCTTATCAGCCCAAGATTTTTTTTATTTTGATTGTGGCAAGCTTTGGGTCCGAAATCTCCTGTTCATAGATTTTGTGTTCTCTCAAACCCTAACCTTTTGCATTCTTCAACACCTCTAGTTTCGACTCTCTAAACTTATCTCACTGAATCATACTTTTTGAATAGTATCTTCTAACCCTAACCTCTCCGACTACTTCTAATTCCCTTACTACCTCTTGTACTATTGGATTTGAATTGACAATTATATCTCTGTGCTGATGTGGTATGGCGACATGAACTGATGTACTTACGTACGAAGTTCTACGTTGCATCTGACTGACTGACTGACTATGTCTAGGAGCATGTCTATGATAAAATTAAACAAGAATGGAGAAAGTGGACATCCCTGACGGACACCACTTGATGTAGAGAATTCCGGTGACAGTTCGCCATAAGCCCTCACTCGACCAGTGGTGTTTGAGTAGAGAGCTTGTATAAGGTTAATGTACTTCTTTGGTACACCTTTCAATGACAGACACTGCCACAGAACCTTACGATCAACAGAGTCAAATGCCGCCTTAAGGTCTAGGAAAACAACTATTGTAGGACGCCTAAATGTGTGTCTGTGTTCCAGGACCTGTCTGAGTGTGAAGATGTGGTCTATACAGCCACGTCCAGGTCGAAAACCAGCCTGGTTTTCTCGAGTCTGCTCTTCACGAGCTTTCGTTAAGCGTCGAAGTATTATTGAGGCCAATATTTTAGATACTATATTAGTTAGACTTATTCCCCTGTGATTGTCACAATAAGACTTTTGTCCTTTCTTATAGATTGGGACAATCAAGGATTGAGACCAGTCGGATGGGGTTACGTCCAGTTCCCAGATTCTACCTAAGATCTCAGTCAACCTAGTTGCTAAAACTGGACCACCATCCTTAAATATCTCAGGGGTCAGTCTATCAGGACCTGCAGCTCGTCCTCGTTTCAGATTTCCTAACGCTTTCTCAACGTCATTAAGACTAGGGGGACTTACGACGATTTGCCATTCAGGATGACTGGAGATCGTGGGTAACCGAAGAGTGGCTCGAGGCCAGTTGAACTGATCCCTAAAGTGTTCTGCCCATCGATCCAGTCTCCTGGATTGAGAATGGATAATAAGACCATCCTTTTCCGAGATAGTCTCACTCACATTCGGGTTCTTAATACCAGTTTCTTTAATAAGGCGGAACAGTTGTCTACTGTTGCCTATCATCGCTGCCTTTTCCATCGCTTTTGCTTTCGCCACCCACCACTGTTCGCGGTCGTTACGCAGACTTTTTATAAGTCTGCGCCTAAGCTGACTACGCTCTTCATCATGCTCAGAGTCAGGTGGGATGCGTTTTCGAGCATCCATCAGTTCGGTGGATGCGACTGAAATCCACGGCTTCATCCTAGCCTAATGGTTTACCTTCCTAGCAGATATCACTGCTGTTTCCACAGCCTTTTTGATATCATACCGACCTGCTTCTGGATGGGAATCGCTTGCATGGTTGCTTAACTCTCTTTCTAGTTGCTCCTGAAATATTTTCTTGGTTTGATTATCATTAAGTAAAACCCTAAGAGGCTTTCTTACGGTGTCCTTCCTACGTCCAGTAAGCCTTAAACAGATACGAGCTCGCACTAGAGCATGATCTGAATCCAAACATGTGCCCCAGAACGAGCGACAGTCATCTATCGAACCCCTCCATCGGTGGCTGATGGCGATGTGATCTAGTTGAGTCCAACGTTGAGACGACTTCGGGGGTCGCCAGGTCAACAGATGCTTTTCCTTATGCCTAAAGTTGGTGTTCGCTAAGAATAGGTGGTTATCTGAGCATACTTGCAACAGACGGTCGCCATTGTCTGTTCTCTCAGTCGCTACACCATAACATCCACCTAGATGTCTTTCCTTGACACCTAGTCTACCTACTTGAGCATTGAAGTCACCAGCCATTATTACTATATCAGAGCGCCTAGCTTTTTGGAGGAGGTCCGAAAGCTTTCTGTAAAACTCATCTTTAACCTCGTCTGCACTGCAGTCAGTGCGTAAGCAGATACGAGGAACAGTCAATGGCGAATGTCCTTATCCTTCCGAGTCCTTACTGTCCCGTTTAGTCGGACAACGCACAAGCGACTATCTACTGGGATCCATTCTAGGAAAGCTAGTTCTGCCCTAGGACTCAACGCTATGCCTACGCCAGCAAGACCCCTGGAAGCAGCATCAGGGCTACCGGATACACGAAGAGTAAATCGAGCTGCTTCTTCGTTTTGACAAGGTGGAATCAGGTTAATGACTTTACTAGGATCCTGTATGCGCGTTTCCGAGACGCAGCATACATCGATGGCACGAGATTCTAAAGTCCTAGCTAAGGAAGCCTGTTGCCCTATTTGACACAATGTCCGTACATTAAATGCTCCAACATATAGTCTAGAACGGGGTTTCAGGAGACCAGAAATGACGTTTTGTGAACTCGCATCGTTTGCATTAGCGGTGTGGCGTGATAAAGGAATGTGAGTAGAGTTAGTCATGGAGATAAGAGAGATATTAGGTGGTGTAGGAAGGGTTTAATTTTGAGCAATTCGATCTCGCGTGCTGGTACGGGTATGAGGGCGGTTTTCACTTCCCGGCTGCCCACACCGTGGAAGAGTGTTTCTTGAGGAACCTGAAAAGGAAAGTAGATTAGTGTTAGTCTTAACGACATGGGAACGTGACCACAGAGCCCGAGGGACAACTGCTTGAGGCCGGTCACGCACGGCCTTTTTATCAAAGGTTTTTTGACTATTAGCTCTGCTCTTTAAAGCCCTTAGTGCGCACCCTTACGGTCGGAGACGGAAATCCGTGAGGTAGGGTGAGGTGTGACATTTTTAGGGTCGACCTTTTCTAACCGTTTCTTCCACGTGAGAAGGCAGTATCGTTGCAGATGCTGGTCGTCCGAGGGAAACGCCTTAATGCCTCCACACCTCTCTGCAGTCAGCAATACGACTTCGCCCTCAGATCTTGAGTAGCTGCTTTTAGTCTCATCGTTCTCCAATCGACCTGACTGGCATGGTAGAACCTTTAGGAACCTATAGACAGACAGATACAACGCAGAACTTCGTACATAAGTACATCAGTTCAAGTTGCCATACCACGTCAGCACAAAGACGTAATTGTCAGTTCAAATCCAAGAGTGATAGCGATAGCAGAGTTATTAGCAGCAATGGAGAAGATTAGGGAGCAAAGATATGATTCGAAAAGTATAATTCAGTGAGATAAATTTAGAAGGAGAAAGATAGAGATTATGAGGAATGCAGAAGGTTAGAATTAAAAAGCACAAAGAGTGGATGCACCTGCGCCATTGCAAACGATTCTGAGCCATGTCGTTCAAGGTCTCTAACCATTGGTGACTTTCGTCTCGCGGACCCCAACCAGATAGCCTACATCTGCCAACATGACTCAGTCCACTTGTCAGTAACTTCATGGATTTGTCTTTTTTGGTATGACCACCCCTAACTTTCTTCCAACCTACACCTACACCACAAAACAGCTCGTCGCGGCAGTCGGTGGTTAGGCCTACGTAACACATATCCCAAACATACGTTCCCGTCAAAACAGTTCGGTTGGGTCATCACGATAGGCAAGCCCGACCACCACGTCAAGGTAGCAGCTGCGGTCTGGAGTTTTCGATCATAGGTGTCTTCAAAGCATTGCTCGTATATCCTGGGACACTCGAGTGAGCAACGCTGTCATTAGGAAACGGGTGCTAGGTAAGGATGGCAGGTCAATAGACCAAGTATTGGAACTTCATCAGTTGAGCTGGCTGGGACGTGTTTCGAATGCCCATTCACTGACTGCCTCATCGAGCTATGTTTTGTGGCCTAGGAATAGGTTGAACGAAAGCTAGGGGCATCCAAACCAAAACATGGCACGAATCCATGAAGTCACTGACAAGTGGACTGAGTCATGTTGGTGGATGTAGGCTACATAGTTGGGGTCCGCGAGACGAAAGTCACCGATGGTTAGAGACTCTGAATATCATGGCTGAGAACCGTTTGCAATGGCGCACGTGCATTTATTCTTTGCGTTCTCTGAGATCATATCTTTGTTAATTTCTCATCACTTTATGTTTTTAAGACTATTTCATTAGATTCTACTTCTTGAATAATGTCTTCAAACCCTATTTTTTACGATTACTACTAATACTTTTACTACCTCTGCTACTAGGGATTTGAATTGGCTATTGCGCCTTTTGTGCTAAGGTGGTGGTATGGCAACTTGGACTGATGTACGTACGTACGAAGTTCTAAGTTGCTGTTGATTAATTGCATGAAAAAAACGACGAGAGTTGATCAACAGAAGAACGAGCATTGTTACACAGAATAAAGTCCCACTGTAAACGATTTCAATCTATTCTAAGAATAAAGGTGGCTTGTTACTAACGCTGTAAGTAGTCATGATAGATCAGCTGTCGGATTATTGGTGATAAAATTCACATCGGCACCATACTGTAGATAGTCAACAATTTTCTTACTTTATTTCCATTGTTTCTTACCGTTTTATCCTTAATTTGTGCTCTCATCTCTCATAATTCCATATATTATCCTCATGATTGGATTATTATCATCGCACTCATCTAGATAATATTTCTCCTGTTATGCACTATATTTAAATGATTTTTCGTGTTACAATAACCATGACTCAATATCTTAAGACGGTTTTGATAGAATGACCCAACCAGAAGTGGCCTAATCGCCTCCTTTCTTAATGAGGTGGGATATATTTATGTAGACGAGTATTTGTGTATATATTTTCGGTAGTCAAGTTGGCGTCCTTTCTCTTTTTTGCCCTCACTCAAGTGGCCAACAAGTGTCGCGATCGGATCTCAGGACCATGCGTTTTGGCCATTGTAACAATAACCATGGATTTCTGAAGCTGTAGAGCTTGATGACGAAGTTATTGAAAACTACTATTCGCTGCAAAATTGTTTATTATCAAGCACTATGTGGGAATCTTTTAACTGCTAATTTGTGATCATTGTGAAGATTTTCATCACTTATCAACAGAGTACTTTTTGACCTCAGAATCTGCTTTAAAACAGAAGTTTATTTTTCAGAAATTCTTCTACTAAGATCTAGCAAAAATTTTTTTTATCTGTAATACACAAGTATTTGATTTATTTTATTTCAGGCTATAGCAATCAGATGAGACTTGATATTGAATTTTCCGGTGGGGCTGAACTTTTGTTTAACAAACAAAAAGAATATCAAGTTGATCTACCCCCAACAGTAGTGCGGCTAGGTGATTTGCTTGTTTGGTTGGAGAAGAATCTTTTACAGGAACGTCCTGAACTTTTTTTACAAGGGAAAAGTGTTCGACCTGGAATCCTCATTCTAATCAATGATGTAGATTACAGTTTATTGGGCGAAAATGATTATATTTTGAAGGAAATGGATAAAGTTATATTTATTTCTTCATTGCACGGTGGTTAAGATTAAATTCAAGAGCATTCTCTATATATTTGCAATATTTATCACATAAAAAGGATCATTTGTAAAAATGGAAAGGATTGTATGAAGTGTTATAATAAATTCTTATAATGAAATCATTTCTCTTTATTCTTTCCTGGTATTATCTTCCACAAGTCAGAAATAGTGTAGTTTTCTGGCAGGCGTTCGACAGCAAGGCCAAGGTCTTCGTTGTATACTGGCTCCCTATCTTTTAGTTTGGTTCCATCTGCTAGATAAACCTTAATAAAATGTGAAAGGTAATAGACTTTCTAAATTTTAAAACATGTATTGTACCATGAAACATAGGTTTAGTCGCTCGGCAGAAATTTTTAGGCATTTGTTCGTTTAGCTGTCTCATAGCTTCGAAGTGTTTGTATCATTTAATAGCCGCAGATGATACTGCCAACTTCGTCTGTAGACCCTTTGGGGCTGCTGCCGGTCCCAAGCCCAGATAAAGGAGGAGGCTTGAGATGTGGGTTGTGGATGCGACCCCCCGCCAAAATACGCAAACTTTGTTTTCTTATTTTTAAGTTTACCTTACTTTACTTTACTAGATTCTACTTCTTGAATGATATTTTTTAACCCGATTACTGCTAATACCTCTGCTACCTCTAGTCTATGTGATTTGAATTGACAATTCCATCTCTGTGCTTATGTGGTATGGGAAGATGAACTGATATACGTACGTACGTAGGAAGTTCTACGTTGCCATTGATGATTATAATACTGCTGCAACAGAAAAACAAATATTGTCATCGGTGATACAGCTGCTGAGATAATCGTGCAAAGATAAAATCTCAATGGGCTAAGTATCAGTTACAAGTAGCTCAGAGGTCTATCACACCACTCTTAGTTGGAGCGATTCTTTGATGCAAGGGGTCGTCGCCACACGTGTTTGAGACTTATGCTTATTTGTGTGTTAGTACTGAGTCCCATGTAAATTTGTTTCTAAACCGTCCTACAAAACATAGGAAATTAATGTGTAAACCTGTTGTATTCTCATTCTGTTGGGATGGTTATTCAAGCCAACCTAAAGGTCGTTGAACAAGAATAGTTAACGGATATGTTATAGTTAGTATGACAACTTATTCTACTGCTTGTATAACAGTCTTAAAACAGTTACGCAAAAGACTCGAGGAACAAATATTTTAATAACAAGTCATTGAGAACTCTAAATTTTAGAATATACGAGCGATCTATACTGTAAATCAATATTTTACAAACCCTTGGTGAAAATTGTTATATTTGCGACTTACTGAGAGGATATCACAATGGTCTTCAGTAGTTCGACCTTTGAAGTCATCTATATCTTCATTTATTCCCTTAATCTGTGGTTAAATCAACAGTAAAGTTCCACAGAGTCATGAGTAAAATATTAACGCATCGAAATGTATCATAAAAGAGATTTGAATGAATCGAATTCTCTGATGTATAAATATAAAAATTGTTAACGAACGAGTAATTTTCTTGGCATGTTTTGATTTAAGAACTCAAGTGAGAACTGGCCCGTAATTGCAAACTACGATGAATGCCTGACTTTGGTTTTCCTAGCTGTACAGTTCAAACAGAATACTCTATGAAGAATAAATGCTAATAATTCTTTTCAATAGTCATGCAAACAGATCTTTGCATTCTCAAATTTATCAGTTACGGCCTCGAGTTGCAATTCATTTATATCCATCGAGTCATTAAGAGATCTCAAAGCAATAAGAAGCAAGTGCATAATAACTACTGACTGACTGACTGCATTATGACTACGTAGTGAGATTACGTAATACAAAGTATTAGAATTCAAGATAGTGGATCCACTAGGCTAAATGATTATATTTTCAAAATAGACACTTGATCAGTGCTTGTAGAGAAGTCAAATATAGAAAACTTCTTGGACATCAGCATGTATTTTCGACAACCTGTATGCAAAAATTAATCAACCAACATTTACAGAGCAAGAAATATATCTAAAAATACTGATGAGAGTTGTTAAATGTTCCTATTGTCAATCCTTCCTCTAAGGTGAAAATGTTTTAGAGGAACTAAATAGCAGGTGAATTCACAGAGGTTGGTATTATCTTTACTTAGGTGGGATTGGTTTTGCTGTATGTATCTTGCATTCTGGCTTTAACTATGTTCCTAACTGGGTATCTTTGCAAAAGAAGTCATCCTAGAATAATAACAGAAGTACGTAAGCTTCCTAAGTAACATGAAAATCTCCAGCATCTAATTATTGAGTCAAGCAGGTAACTTGAAATACCCAAAATCGCTCTACAAGCAGAACTACAACGAAGTTTATAAGATTTTCTGAGGCAACGCCAGCGAAACTTCTCAAGTAGATTAAGTTGCTGGAAGAAAACTTAACCCTTTACTGTATTCAGTAGGCTATCATCGCTATAGATGGGGTTTAATAAGTTTGTTCATTTGGATTCCATATGTTTTTTTTATTGTAGTCAAATTCGGCATCGGAAGTGCTCGTATAGTAATAATTATATATGTATATCCAATACTTACGTACATCTTGTATTATTACATCTTCTGCTTGACTAGTCGCAATTCCAAGAACAGGGTTTTTCAAGTAAATGCTATGTAAACTACCAAGTTGTTTCATTACTTTAACGAGACGCTCGCGTGGATCTATTCGAAACCCGAGCAGATACGATCCAGCCTGAAAACAAAAATTCAGAAGTTATTTTCTACTGTTACTTAACTGTTGTGTTAGTATCGAAGTCCCAGGACAATCTACGGGTAAAAAACCCTAATATGTTGACCTATCCATTTAGTGCGAAGGATGGTGTACACACAAAATCTTTAGTTTACTTTATATTAGAAATTACAACCGATGAGTATGGTTAATGATAAAATACAGTCCGAATGTGAACGGGAAACTTGTTAGTTCACATAAAAACAAGCCCATATATATTTCAGAACGGGTAAACAAAGAAAACTTATCATGAAAATGGAGCGAAGATTATGTTTCCTCAATAACAGGTATGGATAGTGGCATTCAGATTCGATGTGATTATATATAAGTCTTGTAATGAAGATTTCAGTACTGATGTGCGGTAGTGAAAATAAAATGTGATTAGTCATCGAGCATTTACAAACAGGCACATCCTAGTGGCTACTGAATATGCGGCCTCCTTTTCTGTTATCGATTTATATTCTGGACTCACTGAGTGTGACTGCTCGTTAATCTGTGAAATAAATTTCTGTCTATCGCACACTCTAGTTCTCATTTGTTTATTTTAACGTGATCTAGTCTCTGTGTATTAAATATCCAATCTAGTGCTAGTATAAACTCGGTCACCCATTTAGTTTAAATCATAAATCGATCATTTTCAGACAATCATTAGAACCCTGAAAGCCCCGGACGGCCGTTTAGTCCTAGTATGGAACTCTTCAGCAGTACCCATCCACAACCTGCGCCCGCGGAAATCGAACCCAGGACTTTCGGTCTTGCGCGAATGTTTAACTTCTAGACCACTGAGTCTTCGTCCAACGGTGCTAACGTCTGACTTTGACCAATCTAAGGCTTTTCTCAATCTCAACCAATGTCTTCGGTAGTTACTGTCTACACACGAGAGGGTTGGACTTCATTGATCAAGGCTTTCTACTGGAACTCCGAGAATGACCTCATGAAGCACATTGTATGAAGATTGTTGGTTAACAAACATCGAATCATGATTTCAATCAAAAATAACAATCTCCATAACTTGTATCATTTTCGCATTATTCTTGAGAAAAATACCGCGAAACCATCATTAAAACAAGTAAGTTTACAAATAAGTAACCTTCGATTTCATGTGGCTATTAAATTTCAATGACGTCCATGCAATTTATAAGTCGTCTGAGAACCAGAGAAAATCATCAGAGAGAAAGATCGTTATCGATAGCTTTTTTATCAGGCTTCATGGTTATAAATCCAAAATTATTGTATCACAATAGAAAAATGTTAGGGTTGAATTACTTTTTTTTGGACTTTAAATGGCTAACTTCAGATCAAATTAGTATTAAAAGGTACTAATTAATAAAAAATTGACATCATTAACAATGTTGAGAAAAAGCCATATATAAAGGAAAATAAAAATTCAATACCGATTAATGTGATCTATTCGAATCAATTAGATAAAATCTTATGTGAAACTAGTTACTACAACATAGTATGTTGTGAAAATATTAATGAAAATGACGAAATAACGACAGAAACGATAATGTTGGTAATAAGAACCGTTAGTTGTAAAAGTATTGTGAAAGACGATTGTGTAATTGAGGATAAGAACTTTAATCGGAACGATTAAATTATGTTGAATAATAATTAAGAGACCAATAATATACGATAATAAAACCCATTGACTTCACTAACCTGACGTGTAGTTTGAATTACGAGTGCTTCTCCAAACTTAGAGTTTCTGGTTGCAATTAATTGCTAGAGTAATAATTTTAGTATTTTTTGATATAGTTACTATTTGTAGGAAAGGAATACTAATGTTGAAGTTTCCATTTATTATAGATGTCCAAACAACTCGAAAATTCGTCAGAAACAACTTTCCTAAATTACCCTATATGTTTTATTTACTTCTGAGATTAAACTACCTGATCACAGGAAAGATTCCATACTCCATCTATTTCATCGAACATGTTTTCTAGTGGCAGTAACATAAGAAAGTTTCCTTTTATGAATGTCCCGCGAACTTGCAACTCCCGATAAATCCTCGATGAATCGTATGCTCTTTAAAGTTCGTGAGGCTTTGAGGACGAAACTAACCTGTAAACTGATGTAATATACTCCAAAATTTTGGAATCACGAACTCCACACTCGGCAAAGATAAATTCATACCTTACCCCAGAAAACTGTGTCAAAATGTCAGTCGCTGAACTTTTTCCAGCTGCTTTCTAATTATGGAGATGTTTTTTTATGTTTACTTACTGAATTAACGTTCTTAGAACAGATACTTATGAAGCAGCTAAAGCCAATAGCTGAAGTAATATAAGTAACAGCACATCTTTAATCCTACATAAGCTATTCCGAATTTCACACTTAGATATCCAGAGTAGTCTCAGGTTAGTTATGTATAGAGTCCCTGAACAGCAGGAAATTTTGCAACCTGGTGATATATAACACAAACATTCACCTTTATCTCCATTGTTTCCTTTCACATCTTCAACATTTTCTATGGGTTTGAAGATTACTTCCCCCTTTCTAAATATTAAATCACAGCGTGGAGTATCAAAGCGAACTTCTCTATCTTGCCACAATACATCATTAGAAAACGATGACATATTTGGTTGGGCGCTGACGCTTATTTAACTACTGCTTTATGATAACGAACAGTAAAAACAAAATGGGCTTACCTTCAGAGATGTTTCCACTTGTTGGACCTTGCAGGGCACAATAGCTAATCGAGTATTTATAGACGAAAAAAATTTTTGAGTAACAACATTTTCTATATTCTTAAGGTAAAGCTACCATACATCATATCAGCGAGAATTCGATGAAAAGTACATGCAGCCACTAAGAACATATAGATAATGTAGAAACGCAGAATTTAACTTCTTCTAAGAATCAAATAAACTCTGAAATTTCCAGTTCTTAATAAGTCTGCCAAACTAGGCCGATTTCTCCCTAAAAATTTGAAAATGCATCAAGACCATATCAGTTAGAGTTGACTTGTAAGTTTATAGGGATGATAGATGAGTTAGTAAGTCCTGTGTGCTTTAAGGGGGTCAGTGTAAATAAGTTTAAGTTGCAGAAATTCTATTCAACAGAAAATGTATAAAAATCACTTAAACTTATACAACAGCATATGTGCCTAGTATATTGCATTTGCAAACCAATGGTTGATGTATGCTCATTATATCAAAAAATAGGTTCCTAATTATAATAGGGGGCGAAGAATTCTAGGAAATAGAACATAATCCAACATTAGCATGTATTATTGACCAGGTAACGTAACATTCTGTCAATGAATGTAACAGGTATCTTGGAGGCATATTTATGTCTACAGAAAGCTGGGCGTAATTTATGCAAAAATATTTAGCGAGTGGCAATCTTTTTAACACGAAACTTAAAAAACAACCATGCAAAAATTGTGGGATTCATAAAAATATTAATAACGATAAGTGAAGTGTTTTTTAACCATCTTCGCATGTTCATTTGCATTTCGAAAAATTTAGAAACCCTAGTTTTTATGGCATCTGCATAATAATAATTATAATTGTTTCTTAAGCAACTACATGTTACAAGATGTATGCCTATTTACAGGCAAGATCAAAATGTCAGGATTGCTGACATACTTTTTGCAAAACGTTGTTCAGTTACTGAAATATTTCACAAGATACACTGGCTTCATATAGATGGCTAAAATTTTTCACATAAAATTATAGACGATTTTCCGGACTCTAAAATGTACAATGCGAATAACTGGCTCGAGTTACATCAGTTCTATTACGATGAACTGCTAAAGACTGCGAAACAATGCAAGATAAAGCCAGGTCTGCAAATAACAAGAATTGATCAGGTAAATGTGCAAAGATCTTGTTGATATTCTTTATGTAATAAATTTACAGGCTCATGAGTAAATTAACCAGATGTTCGGCAAATATACAGACTAATATTGAAGGACTGGAATAAGCTGTTGAAAATAGGGAAATAAAGAGAACAGGACGAGGAGTAGCATAGACAGTTTTCATGTTTAATGACGAACAATGACCTCGCGGATACTTTTTAAAATAAAAACTTTAACCGTACACCTGTACTTATGTAGGTTAATGAAGATAAGTCACTAGAAAGGTAATGGATGGGTAAATTAATCGTATGAATAGAGGAAATTCAGAAACACCAGATTGTTAGTAATGATGTTGATTCACAGAATATGATAATGAGGTACAGTGATCAGATGCTTTTGTGATGTTTTATTTCTTCTTTTACTTTTCAACTCTGTAGTTCAAGAAGTCATGAGTCAGCTCTTTTTCGGTATAATTGTCTAGATCTGCTTGTAATAATATTTCTTGGTAGGAAGTTAAAACTAGTGCAATGTTACGGACATGTGTCGTAGACGAGGTTACGGAGGAAAAAGTAACATCAATATCACTGATTTGTTACATCCTGCTGTATCGTAAGCAGCCGTAAGCAAACAAAATGTTCTGCACCACAGACACAGGTGGATTAAGATGATCGCCACACCGTCATGAATGCTAATCAGATACACCATTCTTCCTCGTTTTGTGATGTAAGGCTCTCTTATGTTTAATGGTAGACTTTAAACCATGTGTTTTTAGTCTGCGCTCTATTTTTTATACACCCTCTCGGAATACCTTTTCTCCACCAGCTCCACGTTACAAGCAAACCAGATAACTTTACTTTCTGTATAAAAGACAAAATATCCACATAGCATATCACACTTCTTCTAAGTAAACTAATGGTATAAATTGTAGGATATGTGTCAGTTAATAGGTAGTTTGGAGATAGGAAGGATCGGGAGCTAGAGGAAGAAAAAAAGAAAGAAAATAGTGTTGAAGTACTGTTAAAAATTAATGAGTAAAGTTGGTAAACCGGCAAGTTGCTTGGATGCTAGTGAATTTGGGAAATAAAAATTTATTGAAGTGGTAATACTTAAACAGGAAGGAACTCAAAAAGCTACATGGAGTTTGAGTTCCTTGTAACTGACTATTGTTGATAAGCATCTTCAGGCTTTTCAGTTTGCCTGTCTACTAGAAATAAAAACAAAAACTGTTTTAAAGATATGAAAACAATGATCGGAATTTCAATTTAGATAGGAGTCACGGGTAACATCTCAAAGGCGTAGTTTATTCTTGTTAGTAGGAGCAGGGGGATTTGTATATCATTCCGTGATACCTGTATGGATGGTAATAAGGGCACGATATGTTCATAGTCTGTAATTAGTTTCTAAGGTTTATCTAAATATTTGGTGGACCATAAAAGAGTGCCTGAAATCTTGGTGTGAGTTCCGAGAATGATCGATAAATTTCTTTAGAGTCTAATAACAGCATTAATACTTTCTTGAACTTAGTGATTGTGTCACAGATACGGATAGTCATCGGTAACCTGTCCCACAATAGACTGTATCGTATTACAAAGAAATTATAACGCAACGATTTTTTGTGTTTTGCTGTTGATAGTGTATATGCGTTGTTTCTAAGTATGTATGCAGTGTCGTGGTCCATAATCAGGTGGTATTTTACGAATGAGAGACCATTTTTCAGTTTGTAGAGAAGTATTAAGTTGTTCTAGGGAAAGATGTTTGCATCCTTCTGTGTAGTCGAGGTTATGGCCTCATCCGAGCAGTCCTCGGGTGAAGCTTCTTTGCTCATTTTCTGCTCATATGTTGTCCATGATATTCATGCTAGAAAAGATAAGTGAGCAGTATTTAAGTGAGGTACTTATAAATATTTTGGAGATTGTAAGCTTAGCCACAATTGTCACGAAGTTCTTACTTACAAACCTAATCAGTCGTCTGGATTTAGAGATGGTTGAGGTACGTTCTTTGAATTTTGGGCTTCTGGAGTAACGGATACCCAGATCATGCGCTGATATAAGTGTCTGATCCCCAAATTTTTGTAAGTAGAGTGGTATATCATGGTAATATTTACTAAAATGCATGATGCCACATTTGTTGTGGTTAAACGGTAGCTGCCATGTTTTGCTTCAAGTGGTTTAGTTATCAAAATCACTATGAACCCTGTCTATCTTTTCCTCCAAATCTTCAGACTTGTAGCTGTATACTATTTTGAGATCATCAGCATATAAGAATACTCTTCCAAATCTTATAGTGTTAGATATATCGTTTATGTACATAAGAAACATCAGTGGACCTAATACACTTCCCTGGATATCTCCAATAGTTATTGATTTTGGTGATGAAAGGCAATCTCTGTACTTACCATTTGTCGGCGCCCACTTAGGAATGAAGCGAACCATGAATGTAGTGGGTTACTGATTCCTAATGACTTTAGTTTAAGGAGAAGCCTTTTATGCGGGACCTTATCAAAAGCCTGCTTAAAGTCGAAGAAAAGGACTGATACTAGAAGCCCTTTTTCTTATTTTTGCGTGATATCTTGAAATAATTTAGCGGGCATATTACACACGACCTAGAATTCAAGGACCAATGCTGTGAGGTCAATATCAGATTGTTACTAAGTAGATATTTTATTGACTCTGCCTTAACTATTTTCTCCATCACCCTAGATACTAATGAAGTTATGTTCATGGGTCAGTAATATTCAACAGTAGCTGTAGGCCCAGATATAATTGTGGGTATGATGTGTTAAGTATTCCAGTTACTAGGGCGACACTGTGGATAGTGATATAGTAAATAGTTTAAGAAGAATGGCACACAGATCATTGCACCCGTTTTTCAACATGCTGGCCTGGATAACATCTAGTCCTTCAATGTAAGAGTGCTTCAGTGTACTAATTGCTTTAGAAATGTTCTGTACACTGAAGTCAGCACCAAGGATTTCACAGGAAGGAAGTCGGGTTAGGTGTGACTCACTAGTTGGGTTTTAGTTTGCTAATGTAGCACAAAAATGTCCGCCAAACAGCTGTTCTCTCTCTTTTCACTTTAGAGCATTTAATTTTATTTCGAAGGAGTTTTACAAGTGCAGAGGATTCATTGTTCAGCTGAACAACACGCTTTCCCTATGCAATTGCCCTTTTAGTACGTATTATCTCTGCCTCGGCACAAATTTCAGTCATCGTTACTAATGAGGAGAAGTCATTACAGCTATGAAGTCCGGATGCATGTCTTCGAAGACTTTTTCGCATATGACCTCGCATATATAGGAATTCTGGGTCTCCAAGGTCCTAAGGATGTTCAACTAAATAATCTATTAAAGACTGAGTTCCGGATTAATAGTAGTACAGTAGAGTAGTAGGGTAGATTATTTGACAGAATAAGTTCAGTCAGAATTTTTTTGGAAGGACGCGCAACAGGCAAGTGTTGTGCAAAACGTGTGAAAAACAGGAAGTTCAGTAAACCAGTCACTGTTACAATTGGTTATGATAATGAATATTTCTATTTAACCAATCGTGTTTTCTTCGTAAAAGTGAAATCACTACAGCAGTCACTCCGATTAAAAGGGTTTATACATTCGATACGTAGCGTTAGCATTGACAAACAGGTGGCGATCGATATTCCCCGAGTTGGCGTGCCACATTAAAGTGGTTTGTGAGAGCCAGAAAACGCTGCAGACATTGGACGAAACCACGTTGAGACGAGAAATCAGAAGCTTCCATGATAAACAGATTCAGGGTAGTACGTATGCCAGACGCAGTCGGAAAATAAACAAAAGGAATGCAATTATATTGGTCATACACATTAAAAATTAAACTGAGAGTGAAGCAACATCACAAACTGTAAACGTTTATTAATAAAAAAGAAGAGTTCATATAGAGAATTATCCACAAAGTTAGAAATCAATCGACCGTTTAAAAAATAAATAGGATAAAATAAGGTCGTTCCACCCCGTGGTAAAAAGGATTGAAATAAATAAGTTACAGCTAATGAAAAGCTCGACAACAACGGACGTCCAGATTTGTAAATAAATCTTTTAAATTATTCATCTCAGTTGTCTCACGCGTAATAGAAAATGTGATAAAAGACCAACTATCTGATCACTTATTAAGAAAAGGTATCATTAACCCCTTACAACATGGTTTCATTAGAACCTAGGCCATGCATCACATATCTGATAGATTTCTTTGGTGAGATTACCCGCACACACGACCAAAAGCAACTGGTAATCGTGTTGTATTTTGATATCATAAAGGCTTTTGATAAGGTATCTCAAAGTCTCTTAATCAACAGACTTCAGTCCTTCGGGGTTACTGGCCACCTGTTGCAATGGATTAGGTCTTTCCTCACGAGCTGATACCAGATTACTAAAATAAACCCTTTCTACATCTACACCTCGACCTATAACTAGTGGTGTTGTGGAGGGCAGTGTTTTGGGTCCACTGCTTTTCACAATCTACATCAACAGCATATGCAGTTGTTTCATCACTGTTAAGACCCACCTCTTTTCTGATGACCTCTAGGTGATTTATAAAACTAACAAATCTGACATAGGAAATTTGCTGCGCATGAACTCAATATATTAGATTTCTGGTGTAAGCAATGGAACGTGGAACTCAATGCTGAGAAATGTGGCTCGATGTGTTTTGGAGACAAGTCTTCCAAAATTAATTTCACTCTCAGCAGAAATATTCTGCCCAAACTCACATTTGTAACTGATCTGAGAGTGGATTATTCACAAATCTTCAACTTCTCCGAACATATCTCCGATAGAGTTTCCCGAATGAGAAGAATGCCTTGCCTCATTTTCGTAACTTCCTTCATATAAAATCCAGAATAATTCTCTACAAAATATGAGTAAGACCTATTGCTGAACACTTCTAATTCTTATTTTCCAACTTAAGCCTGTCTGATATATTGAAGCTTGAAGGAATACAAAGGAATTTTATTCGAAAAGTCCTAAATCGTAGCTCAATTATTGACTATCCAACTCGATGTAATGTTCTTGTGCTTGATCCATTATGGAAAAGAAGGCTTAAGTCCAATCTAATCCTTTACTTTAAACTGCTGCGGAAGCTCACATACTCCTCTTGTAGTCTAGTCCTTTTCCAAGGTATATGTATACATAACCTTCGAGATAAAGTTTTTACGTTTAGAATTGAGAAGTATAAATCCAAAACTCAAGAAAACTTCTTCCTCACTAAGTATCCACTGATATTGAATAGGCTTCTTTCAAAAATACGCATGGCAAGTGGGTTGCATGAATTTGTACAGCTTCTTAATGAAGCTCTTGATTGCTCTGACTCATTTGAACGTGTGAACTTACTCGTGCCGTGCTTCCATATTATGTGCTCTGTACACACTTAAACTACAGTGAACTCAGTGCAGTATTTTATTTATTTTTTACTTCCCCAAGTAGCATTAAATTTTTCTAGTTGAATGTAAATCTCTCTAGGTTTTACTTGAAATAAACGGGTTACTCACTGGGTCGATCGACACTGTTCAACTGTAAACTGGTTGATTAGAACTCACTCTACTTCCTTGGGTGCGACTTTATCAACACTCATAACTGTGTCAGTTTCATATTAACTATTATCCTTTTCACTGTTCTCACTTACACTCTATTGACTTACCATTGATCCCTTAGTGATATCTATTGCTCCACTTTTAACCGTGATACTCTTAAAATTTCCTGCTTACTTCGTTAAGCCCATCTCCACCACCACATTCTAAATGCTTATAGATCATTTGAAAATCCGTACTATTTCTCCACAACTTTAAACTGTATTGCATTGACGCCTAACTTATAGTTCATAGGTTGTGGCAGCCAAATAAGCTTGTGAAAGGAACTTGCAGAAATGGTGTTTCTCAACAGGATGTTAGACACAGAGCACCAAGTAAAACATAAAATAATTTCTTTTAAACAATTAACAAGGGCTCAACAACGCAAGTTGAGGGAGAGTGAAGTTAATGACCAGCTAACATTGATGATGTGGGCTATAACTTCAAACCAACCATGTTTGTGGGGCAGAACATTTTGTTTGCTTTCGGCTCTTTTGATTGAGGAGGCGACTAATCAGTAACACCGAGGTCGCTCTTATACGATTGCTACTTCCGAGGCCCATATTTCCTAAACTATACTGAGGTCAATATTCTGCCAAGACACCCGCAACATGTTTACTCAGGCGCTTACAGTATGATTTAGAGGTTTGCATTTAATTAAAAACAGCATGGCAGTGAAAAATTTTAATTGTCAATTATATTCCCATAATTTACTTTAATTTTAGTAGTCATTATGTATTTTCTCTTGACTTACCACTGTAATGACTACTTCACCATGATAGGTTATATATACACAGTTGCCTCGTTGCTACCTTTTTTTCCCTCTCTTTACTCCCTTTTCAGAACCCTATTCACAGTGGAAAGTCCATGGCGCTCCTAGGGAACATGCAAGTCTGGGTCACACCTTGTACCAAGCGCTTTACAATCGATTTTTTCCGAAAAATGCACTACTGATCTAAGCAAACTAGCCAAGAAACCGACTGTGCGCCTTCCCTATTTGTACCTTCCTATTGAATATGTGGCTGTATCAAACTGTTCCTATCAGAGACATGGTGTAAACATGTTATCAGAAACTAACTCTTCTACTTAATTTAACTCCGGTAGCTTTTGCAGTAAATGTGAAAGCATTTGTGACAGTACTATCTAGCCTGTATACTGGCGTGCATCTTGCAACATACTGTTATTTGTAAATCAATATTATTATTATTATTTCACATTAGAAACATATAAATCCCACAAAGTTGAAAGGGAAATATTTGCTCATGAAAATGCAAATTTGTCTATAATGTTGAAAGCGAATCCGTCGAATAAGGTTTTCCAGTTTAGTATGCTAGTTATAGGTACCTGTTTGATTACGATAGTCCTGTTTCACAATCATAAATACCAATTAATTAACTAAATTATCCACTTACTTATTTAGTCCTAAAATCTTCTTATTAGCATTAGAATTTTCTCCTTATTATTCTCCACATTGCGACTAATTGATGTCAGGCCTGGTAACGTGATAGCTGCTGGTATCTAGAAACCCTACTGCCCTGAAATAAACAAACTCATACAAGTTCTGCGAATTTACTAGAATATGTGCAGTCGAGTGGCTATAAAACCATCTTTCGGACACCAACAAATACCTGGAACCCTATCGAAAGAACAAGAATCGGATACAATGGAATCAATTAGTCATCACTTGCTCGTGAAAAAGATATTGGATTTTGGATCCCCATTCCGACAAGGTCGTCTGGTTGTGCCTTTTTGACTATATGCTGTGGAGGTCGCTAAATAAATTAGGTATAAAGCGTTAAATGAAATCTAGGCATCATAATTTTACTCAAGGTTCCTTTGAATCAATTTTTTCTTCATCGTAAGCAACAGTGTAAGCTGTTAATCATTCAGTTATGATTGCGAGTATATCTGTTAGGTGATAGAAAATATGCAGATTCCTATTTAGCTCAGTTTATCTTTATCGTATTGTAGAGTGAAAAATTTCCGATTTGTATTATTGTTTGATACAGATGCATATGGTCGTAAGTCACTGTTTATAGTGTATACTTATCCGGGACTTAGTCTTCAGGGTCTGCATTATTTGTAATTGAAGACGTTTCAAGGTTTCTGTAGAACGATACTTTCAAAATTAATTTTGCTAATGCGCTAACCAGAATGAATGCTACGTATGTGGATAAATAACTAATGTTAAAGTTTGTTATGAATGTGTTAATTTGGCTATTATCATTTGTTTGCTGAGATATATATCTGTCATCTTCCTTGTGTCCCATTTTTTAATAATTAAGGTTCACAAAACCATTTTATATCTCACAAGACCATTATTTAAACTACATTTCGGAGTTAACGTCCGTACCGTATGTCAGGTCCAATAATAGGCATTAGTTCAGACCATAGAATCTCATGGTAGTCGTTGTCCAACAACAGGTTCTCACGCCGTTTCTTCCCTCAGGATCCTGCACCCAACGTGCACCATCGGTTTCGGATCAGGGTTTTTCGACCTACCTAGGTGAATCCTTCGTACCCACCAACCCGGTCAGAGCAACGGACACTGACTTTCTGTCCTCAAAATTTCGTAAACAAAACACGCTCGCCGAGAGAATTTAATGAACAGGATTTCCTTGACAGTGGCTATTAAGCATAGTCGTTTTAGAGGATTTAGAGGGGGAGAGCGGACTCTTCCGACTCTCGCCTGTAACAGGCACTTCAGCTGATTCATGGCAACCTTAATTTGTACTTATGTTTAGGTAACTACTTGTTCGTTGTAAGTACTAGCTTTAGGTGATAGTTGAAACCTTGTATAGCCTGGTAACACTCAACAATGAACACTAATGGATCATAACGAGACTAGCTATTTTGAAGAGGTTCAGTGGAAGGAACTCCAACTTCATCATCAACCTAGAACGATTTGAAAAAGTTGTTATAAGTAATACAATTCACCAGTTCAGTGAATTTATATATTCTGATTTACAAAGGATTTTCATCAATTATTTTTACCACAACATGTACTGTCATAGCACACAATAAAAATAAACTCTTCTTTGATTAGTTGATCTTTAAACTTTTTTCTTGAGCAGGTTAATTATTTTATGTCTGTGTTTATTGGAATTTTTAGCTCTGTAATTCTAAATTTTGAAAGTTGTGGGTTGTGATCTTAATTCATTATATCCAATCCCTAATTTGTCTCCAACTAACTTTCATTTTGATATTTAGATATTTTCACTGGGGATCCCACAACAGTTGTATCTCGTACGAAAGCACTTATCATCCTGTTAAATTCAATGATTCAGGTTTATTACATTGTGTTGAGTGCGATTGTTCTAGAACGAAGCTCATTCTTGCCATTATTATTTTACTAGGCTCCACTAGTGATGGATTTTTGGTGAATTCCACTAAGCGAGTATGAATGCCCAAGCGGAATTTTGCGCCGACTGTAGTACATCATCTCCAAAATGGGCGTCTGTCAATAGAGGTGTGCTATTATGTGATGAATGTAGTTCTATTCATCGACAGTTAGGAAGACATATTAGCCAGGTTTGTTTTTATTACGATTGCTTCCAGCTAATCAAAAATATAGGTTAAACATCTTGAGAAATCGCGTTGGAGACCATCACAACTTTCCATGGTACGTTATTTGGCGTCTGCTGGTGCAAATGGCTATTGGGAACATGTACTATACGAACCTATGCTTGCTGGATCAAATCCAGATAATCGATGTAGCAAATCAATTCATCCCCACAAAAAGCCTCTACCTACCGATCCAGTGCACCCAACCAAGGCTGATTTTATACGAGAAAAGTACTTGTTCTTGGGATTTTTTAAGAAACCACGAAGTATTAACCATGATGATTTAAACCAGCAACTCCACGCTAGTGTAAGGACAGGTGTTTTAGAGACCAGTTTATATTTACTTGCTTTAGTAAGTGATCAAGTTATTTTCAAGAAAAGTTCTTGTCTTAAATAAGCTTATTTGGATGTGTTTACTTATATGATTGCTTTTTTAGTTGTTTTATTAGGTTGGCAGTGGAACAGTAATTCACAATGACAGTGATAGTTGAGAGTTGTAACTCACATATGCTCTTTTGAAACATTGGATGTAATGTGAAATAAAAGTGGGTTGTGAGTAGTAGATTTACTGTGATACGACCAAGACTAATGTTATAACTAACAGGATTAATGTGAAATCCATTTCATTAGTATGTTAGGCGGTTAGATGCGATTAACATGGAGACTACAAAACCCCTAAATTGTTTACTAATCATTGGTCAGTCAATGCAAATTTGTATAACGACTCAGTGATGAATCAGTACGAATCGTCACTCAAACATACTTCGAATTTTCCTTTTTACAAGGTTTTTAGTAGCGTGATATGCTTGTCTGATATTTTTAAGAGGTGATTTAATTACTCGGTTATCAACTGTTGAGCTTCAGACTTAGTTTCTTTTTGAATGACTGAATAATAAATCTGACTTTCAACGTGATGTAAGGTTGTAAACTATGTGCGGAATTTATATCATAAGTTCAGTAACGATTTTCTTGATGAACGGCATTGTATTCGCCAATCATGAGAGTCTAGCAACAGGTATTAATTACTACAAGCCTAAAATTTACAATGTTATTTCAAATTAGACGATTAGTTTCACTTATTCTCCACTGAAAAACAATGTTTTATTAACACTATTCAGGGTGCGAATCCAAACTTTATTCATCCGGTCAAAGGCACAGCACCTATTCATGTTGCATGTCAGTATGGTCAAATTGGTCAAGTAGAATTGCTGCTAGCTTATGGAGCAGATGTTTGTATTCGAGACTCATCTGGAAAAACGGTGATCGATGTAAGTTTTCGAAAAACATTTTCTGACTGTTTTGTTACTGAAAGTAGCAAGTGTTTATGCTCGTTCCGATTAGACTGATACATTTGTAATTTTATTTGAACTCCTGAACTTTCTGACATAAAGAGTAAGCGATGCTGTTATTAGGAAACTGGTACTAGTTAGAGATGGCAGGTGAATAGATGAAGTACTAAGACTTCGTCAGTTGAGGTGGTTGGGACATATGTTGCGTATGCTTAACTACCGACTGCCTCGTCGAGCTATATTTTACGGTGTAGGAAGAAAGCTAGGGGCAACCAGACCAAAACATGCCAGAAATCCACAAAGTTACTGACAAATGGACTGAGTCATGTTGGTAGGTGTAGACTACCTGGTTGGGTCCCGCGAAATGATAATAATCGATGGTTAGAGACCCAGAATGACATGGTTCATAACCGTTCGCAATGGCGCAGGTGCACTCATTCCTTGTGTTCTCTCAAATCCTCAACTTTTTCTTCATAAGTTTATTTCACTAGATTCTACTTCTTGTATAATATCTTCTAATTCTAATCTCTCCGATTATTGCTAATACCTTTACTACTTCTACTACTATGGGATTTGAATTGACAATTACATCTCTGTGCTAATGTGGTATGGCGACCTGAACTGATGTACGTATGTACGAAGTTCTACGTTGCTATTGATTGACTGATTGATTCTGACATAAAGTACCTCAGTTCAGGTTGCCATACAACATTAGAACAGAGACGCGATTGTCACTTTAAATCATATAATAGTAGAGGTTGTAGAATTATTAGTAATAATCAAAATCATTAATGATTGAATATATCATTCGTGATGTATACCCGAGAGAAATCAATTAAAAGAGAGAAGAAACGGTCATGAGGAAATCAGAAGATTAGAATTTGAGAGAACACAATGAGTGAATGCACCTGCGCCATTGCAAACGGTTTTGCGCCATGTTATTTAGGGTCTCTAACCATCGATTACTATCATCTCGCGGACCTCAACCAGGTAGTCTACACGTACCAACATGACTCGATCCAGTTGTCAGCGATTTCATGGATTTGTGCTTTGCTTTGGTTTAGCCGCACCTAGCTTTCTTCCAACCTATTCCTATATCGCAAAACCTAATTCGACGTGTCAGTCGGTGACTGGGCATTCGAAACACATGTCCCAACCATCTGAACTGATGAAGTTGCAATTCTTGATCTGTTGACCTGCCATCCTTACCCAGCACCCGTTTCCTAACAACAGCATTGCTTATACGGTTGTCCCATGGTACACGAGCATTGCTTTGGAGACACCTATGATTGAAAACCAGTAACCTACGAATATCTTCAACTCTGACTGCCCACGTTTCACAGGCACAAAGTAGGACGGAGCGAACTACTGCTCAGTAGACTCGTCCGTTACTCAGTAAACGGATATCTTGCCTACGCTATAAGTGTCACAAGTTGGCAAAGGCCAGTGGAGCCTTCTGTATCCGTTCGGAGATTTCGTCGCACATTAGGCCATCAACACCGACGAGACTCCCAAGATAAGTGATGCTGTCAACACACTCAACTACTTCACTCCCTATCAGGTGCCGATGCGAGCCAATCTTGAAGCAAAATTTCGCATTTCAACGGGGAGAATTGAATCCCGAACGTGCTTAGGGTAGTCAGGAGACTCTTCGTTTTCTCAGCGTCTTCACCGAATAGAATTATGTCATTGGCATATTCTAAGTCAGCAATCGTGTCTCTTGGTAGAAGGTCGACCACTGAAAAGTCAGACGAAGATAATGTTATCGCTAAAACCATATCTATAACAAAGTTATACAAGCATGGGGGAAGTGGACGTCCTTGACGGACATCACTTGAAGTAGTGAATTCTGATTACATTTCATCATAAGCTCTCACTGGACCTGTAGGTTTCGAGTAGAGAGCCTGTGTAAGGTTAATGTACTCTGGTACACCTTTTAATGACAGACACTGCCACGATCAACAGAGTCAAATGCCACCTTAAGGTCCAGGAAGACAAATGTTGTAGGACGCCTAAATGTGAGTCTGTGTTCTAGGACCTGTCGTAGTGTGAACAAGTGATCTATACAGCCACATTCAGGTCTGAAACCAGCCTGATTTTCTCTAGTCTGCTCTTCACAAGCTCTAGTTAAGCGTCTAGATATTATCGAGGCTAAGAATTTAGACACTATATTAGCCATACTGATTCCTCTGTGATCGTCCTTTTTTATAAATTTGGACAATCAGGGATTGAGATCAGTCAGATGGGATTACGTCCAGTTCCCAGATTCTACCCAAGATCTCAGTCAATCTAGCTGCTAAAACGGGACCACCATCCTTAAAAATCTCAGGAATCAGCCTATCAGTACTCGCTGCTCTCCGTGGTTTTAGATTTCCTATGGCTTTCTCAACTTCGTGCAGATATGGAGGACTTAAATCAATTTGCCACTTGAGATGGCTGGGGATCGTGGGTAACCGAAGTGTGGATGAAGGCCAGATGAACTGATCGATGAAGCGTTCTGCCCATCGATCCAATTTCCTGGATTCAGGATGAATAATAAACTGATTCTTGTCCAAGATAATCTTACTTACAGTCGGATTCCTAATACCGGCTTCGTGGATAAGTCTGAATAGTTGCCTGGTGTTGCCTATCGCCGCTATCTTTTCCAGCTCTTTCGCTTTGTCTACCCACCATTGTGTGCTATCATTGCGTAGGCTTTTTATCAACCTACGCTTAAGATGACTCTGCTTCTCATTGTACTCAGAGCCAAACTGGATGACTTCCCGAGCATCTATCAGTTCGGTAGATGCTACTGAAATCCACCTCTTCTTTCTAACCTTATGGTTTATCTTACTAGCATATATCACCACTGTTTCCAAAGATTATGGGACATCATTCTAAGCCGCTTCTGAGTGGGCATAACTACACCGCTGCCTAACTGTATTTCTAGTTGTTCCTGAAATATATTCTTAGCTGTGCTATTATTAAGAAGATTCCTAAGGGGTTTCCTTGCGGTGTCTTTCGTACTTCTAGTAATTCGCTAGCAGATACGTGCTCGCACTAGAGCATGGTCTGGATCTAAACAAGGGCTCCAGAATGAGCCGCAGTCTTCAATAGAGTCTCTCCACCGATGGCTGATAGCGATGTGGTCTAGTCCGGTCGGCTTTAGGGGTCACCAGGTTGAGATGTTTTTCTTTATGCATAAAGTCAATGTTTGTCAGAAATAGGAGGTTGTCTGAGCATAGCTACAGTAGGCGATCGTCATTATTTGATCTTTGGGCCACGACACTATAAGATCCACCTAGATGTCTCTCCTTTTCACTGAGTCTACCTACTTGAGCATTAAAGTCACTAGCCACTGGTACTATATCAGAGCGCTTAACTTTTTGAAGGTTAGAGAGGTTTCTGTAAAACTCATCTTTTACCTCATCTGAGGTGCTGTGAACGGGAGCGTAGGCAGATATAACAGCGAAACGAGTCCTTACTGTGCCGTTTAGTCGGACTGCACATAAGTGACTGTCTGTTGGGATCCAGGCTAAGGGAGACAGTTCTGCCCTAGGACTCATTGCTATACCTCCAGGGGCGAGGTCATGGGAAGCAGCATCAGGGCTTCCATATGCACAAAGCGTAAACGGAGTTGATTCTCTATCTGGACAAGGTGAAATCGAATTAATGATTTCGCTCGACTCCTGTATACACGTTTCAGAGACGCAGCATATGTCGATGGCACAGATTCCACAGACCTAGTTAAGGAAGCCTGTTGCCCTATTTGACACAAGGCTCGAACATTAAAAGCTCCAATATGTAGTTTAGAGCGGGGTTTTAGGAGATCAGGATTAATGCTTCGTGAGTTCAAACTGTTTACTTCATCGGCGCGAGGTGACAAACGAACGAAGGAAGTGTTGGTTTAGGAGATAAGAGAGTTCTTAGGAGGTGTAGAAATGATTGTGACCAATTAGGCCTCGTGTTCTTTTACGGGTAGGAGGGCGGTTGTCACTTCCCGGCTGCCCACACCGTGGAAGGGCTCTGGTTGTGAGAAGGGGCATCGGCCTCATGACTTCCAGAGGAACTCGGCTTTCATCATGAGACGTATTCTAAGTGAAGACCTTCTAACTCCCACGACAGATTTAAAATGGTTTGAGTTATTTTTTCTTGTTAGCGTTTTTTTAGCGAGTTAGATTTTAGCGGGATGGGGTCGCCAACCCCTATCCCAACCCTCCTCCTTCAGTCGGGCTTGGGGCTGGCAGTAGCCCCGGAGGGGCTCTAGTTGGAGTTACATAAAGTACCTAATTATGGAGAAAGAGTATATCTCAGTAAGATTGATACCAAGCACCAAATGTTCATTCTAAAAAGACCCATCTAAGTCATCTCGTTCCATGATTTGGATTTTCTTGCTATAAATTTACTAACCTTAGTACTGTAAAATACCCTATCATTTAGGGTTTTTATAATTGATAATTTTTATAATTGAACGGGCTTTTATAGCATAAAAACTTCTTAAATCTATCTAATTCTACACCATTTCTTAGTTTAGGCTGTTCAGAAATCATTTTTCGGTTTAAATGTTCAAATTCGTGCATTAAATTTCATAACCTTCTATCTCCATATCTCCATAGTATTACTCAGTAGGTGGTCTCGTTAGCGATGGTTTGAAATCATCTCTGATTACTTACTAGCAACCCATAAATGCTGCTCGGTACACACTCCCTTTGGTTGATAGATGAACATGTCGTCTACGGACACGATGCGCCCAACTATTTCACCCACTTCCATTAGTTCCGGTATAAACGTAGCTCAGTTCTGAAGTAATATTTTGTATTTAAAAGGAGAAAATCACATCCCAAATAAGCTTGCGTCGTTTCTCAAAGCAATTAGAATACTTCATTTTATCAGTTTCCACTAAACAGAGCCATATAATTTGTGTTATAATGGGACTAGTAAGTTTTCTGTTAGGAGATAAACTCCTGAAAAGTTAGATTGAAAGAACAGTATCGATAAAAGTATGACATAGTCAAATAAAAGTGTAGGAAGTTGAAAGTTTTGATGTATAACATTTAAGGCAAATAGTTCTGGTGACGGTTATCCATTATCTGGGCCTCGACCAATAGGGCTTGAGTAGTTAGGGTATGTAGGGTTGATGTACTTTTTTGGTATCCCTTTCAATTACAAACAATGGGGTAGAACCTCTTAACCAGCAGGGGGATGTCATCATAGCCGGGAGGGCTCTCGTAAATAAGCCTATGATTTCAAATGTTTTAATCTAAAACCAACCTAGTTTCCCCTAGTTCGTTCTTTCCAAGTACCAGTTAGGTAACTATTGAGGCTAATATTTTGGAAAGTATATTAGCCAAACTAATCACTCAGTGGTTATCACAAGACGACTTTGTCCTTTCCTATAAGCTTCGATGATCAGCAATCGAAGAGTTTTATCCTGGAGTTTCGGGTTTGTGACCTGCCCGGGTTTGGAGCTATATTTCCAAAACGCCCTGGTATGGTCGAGAGTCGGAAGAGTCCGCTCTCCCCCTCTAAATCCTCTAAAACGACTATGCTTATATAGCCACTGTCAAGGAAATCCTGTTCATTAAATTCTCTCGGCGAGCGTGTTTCGTTTACGAAATTTCGAGGACAGAAAGTCAGTGTCCGTCGCTCTGACCGGGTTGGTGGGTACGAAGGATTCACCTAGGTAGGTCGAAAAACCCTGATCCGAAATCGATGGTGAACGTGGGGTGCAGGATCCTGAGGAAAGAAACGGCGTGAGAACCTGTTGTTGAACAACGGCTACCATGGGACTGCATCTCCCAGCGTAGCTCCAATGCCTTTTGTTTTAGATTTTTGGGCCAGAGGCCTGGGATATTGTCTTCTAAGAAAGCTACTTGCTTCGGTTTGTGTTTCCAGGCCCTATTCCAGCCCACACACAAATTGAATGATTTGTGTGGTAGATAAATATTTTGACCCCATTTTGTACCAATGTTTGTGTTTTAACTAATCAATAAATCAGAATCAGATAGAACTAGGTGTAGCTCCAAAACTGTGACTAGTATCTCAGTCAGCTTAGCTGTTAAATGTTGATCAGCATTGTTAAAGCCTTCCGGGATTTATTTGTCAGATCTTTTAATTGTGGATCTTTTCAGATTGGATCTGGCTTGTTTTAGCCTCACTGAGATTTGAGGGACTTGAGTCAATTTCCCATTCAGGCTGTTAGGAGATGGTGAAGTTACTGGGGATAGCTGATACTAAGTTGAACCACTCCTTCAAATTTTGTCCTTAAGTTTAATCACATTAACAGTGACCCCGTCTTCTTCCGAAATAGCTTTACTAAGGGTCAGATTTCTAATGCTTGTTTTCTTACTGAATTGGAATCGTCCTCTACCGTTACTTAATTCTTCAACTATGTTTAATACTCTTCGGTCCTACTAAAACTTCGTAGCCGGATGTTTTAGAAAAATTAACAAATACAAATCATAAGTTAATGTATCATTTAGGAAATAGTCTTTTGGGTAATGTCAGTTTGGGATGGAAAATTCACCTTTTTAAATTTCTGCAAATTTCTACGTCAGATAGAACTTATCTAAAGATATCGTAATCAACACATAACAACTTACACATATTTGTATTTTTCATATTTAAATATAACTAAATATACACACATTGTATACTTCTTCATCATTGTATTGTACGTATATCTATTAGCGAAAGGATGTGTGTATTTTTTTATGGGAGTGCAGTCTAACTAACATATCATAAGGATTTTTTTTAACCTTTTTTCTTATTGATCAGATAATAACTTGAAGAAAAAAGTTGTGAATGTTGTTCTAGTTCTTTCTTCTTCCAATCAAAGATAAGAAGAATATCCTAAAATTTCAAATAATATTTAGTGCATGAATTAAGTATTGTATTATTATAATTATCATTTCATTAGGATGGGAAATTTGTAATGATTCTCAGTTTTAAAGCGTAAATCTTATATCATACCAGTTAATATCAGAATAACAGATTTTTAAAGATTTGATTGATGCTGAACAATCGTTTCATCCTTAGTGTAGTGTATGAGTTGTTTTCAGTACCCTCTGGCAACTCCATAATGAGCTTCATGTCATGCAGTAAGCAGTTGTTTACACAGTTCAACTTCAATCAGAATCTGTCTTAATAGCCTAGATTTGTGTCCTCTTCGTCCAGGCCTAGATTCTGCGTTTCGAAATGAATTTTATGTTTCGTTCCACAAACCGATTATTTTTCTCAAATAATATTCACTAATTTTTTTCTTACTGATTAAGTGAGCCAATCAAAAGTGGTCATATCAAAAGGCCATTTGATGACCATTAGAACTGTCCCAAAGGACGAATACGTGTCATTGGTCGAGAAATGGATTCATTTTCTGTGGAGGTAGAATACATATGTTTAGACGAGTATTTGTACATATTACTCGGTAGCTAAATAGACTTTCTCTTCTGCTCCTGCCTTCTCTCTCAAGTGGCCAGTTTGGGGGGATCAGCGCGTATCAGCGCCAAACCTCGGACACTGCATATCATAACACTTACTGTCACTGATACTGCTACTTCTATTATGTCTGTCTTCATTCTGATAATTTTGTTTTTCTACTAATGTGGTCTGTTAACGTGTGCCAACAGACATGATGTATGTATATATAACTGTCGAGAATACTTTTAGTTTTCATAGAATCAAATTATTATATGGCACAAGATTTGCAACTATAATAGATTGATTGACGGTTGGCGCATCAAAAGTGATTTAAAATGAACAGTCTTCAAAAATCGATTCATTATTTTATTGAAGTGATACAATTCAGTGCTAAAATTGTGTTATTTAACATGTCTAGAAATTGTAATCTAGTGTTCAGATCGAAATAATTGTAACAATGCCTCCTATGTATTTTAGTTTAAGCGACTAAGTAGTAGTATCACTAAATCTGACACTGAGAGTTGTTTATCATGACCAATTAGGTCAGTTTGATTAAAATTAAGAAATTAGGATACTGAGAAAATTTTCTGATAGTTATTTCAGATCTTAACTAATAAAAAGCGACAAAACTTGTATATGGAATCTGTATGCCCTGTTTGCATTTTAAATCTAAAGAAGAAAAATGATAGTTTTCAATGAAGATATTCACATGTGATAATGGTTCACGGTATACAGTATACAAAAGTTTTGGATTCACTCCTTCAGATACCTATCTGCCACTTATTCCATTATTCAATACATAATTGTTCTGTTGAATTTTCATGATTCCTCGAGTAATTTTTGTGTTTCTCAACTTGTTTAATAGATCATCATTTTCTGTGACTGCTTAACAAGATAGTTCGGATTGAAAGATGTGTTTTTTTTCTTTTTGTCTGCTTATCTGAAATGAATTAAGTATTTATTAAATAAAATGATTCATGACATAGATTGAAGATAAATATAAAAATTTAATAGAGAACATTATGAAGAGAATTTCCAAAACTTTATTCTTCTTAAATGATAGTTTATTGCTCAACTTTATCTTTTGAAAGTTTTTATTCTATTATTCTCAAATTAGAAAGGATGAAATTCATAGTCCATCCTTATATTGATGTATAAACTTGATTTAATTATTTGTTTCTATGAAATTGAGATTTTGAACGACATCTCAACTATGCATATTATTAAATTTAATGATACAATGTTATCAATAAATACGATGAATCTGTTCGTTTAAAACTTGTGTTTATTATTGCTTGATCAGACTTTTGTTCATATCAACAGGAATAAATTTGTATTTTGCAATTTGATACTTAGAGATTTATGTGTTAATAGGTTGTACCTATTATTTATATGAATAAAACTTGTTGAATAGAGATAATTATTGACAGTTGTCTCTAACTCATTGTTTCTAATAACTTAATTCTATGAATATCATGGTTGATTTATGCTTTAATTCCAATGGTTTCTTTTTCTTCGTCTTATTACTATCATTATGTATTTTTCTCACCCGATACACATTTTACTTACAGTTGTTACCCCTTGTGAAGCATAGGCCACCAACCAATACGATACACATTGAATGATCACTATGCTGTTTTCAGTAGATTTGTGAACAAAAGCAAGTTATATCTCAAGATAGATGCTGGAAATAGGATTTATTTTAAGTGTTTATTTCTTTTAATACATTTGACTTAGATGGTTTGCAGTACACACTTGATGTGATTTATTGTTTTCAATGAAATATCTCTATTAAAGTTTGCTTCTATTGTATCCTTTAGAATTTCTGGGAAAAGTCTTCAGAGACTAAAACAAACTCTGAAAATACTTCGCTCAATATTGTTCAAAGAAAGTATCTCAGAGAGTTCTGAAAAATGATGAATTGTGTCGTATTCCGATGAGATGATTAACCACTTTGTAATTAGTTTTAACATGTTCTAAGAATCTTGTAGAACGTAAAGTTGTCACATAAATTTATAAATATCCTTGCATTCTGTATCTAAATAAACTTTAACAGTAGAGGTTTTATTCATATTTCCAGCCCTCAGTCTTCCATTGGGATTTTAAGTGCTGGAAATTTCCAGGTTCTTAGAAAATAGTTAGAAATCACTATTTAGCATACCATCTGGTTGTGTTGTTGGTTAAAGTCCACAAAATAATTTGTCCCTTTTTTAAAGGATAAATATTTCATACCTTTCTATACGACTAACATCAATGTATGATATGCTGTTCATCCAGGTATTTAAGCACTCGCCAGTTTTAGAACCGTTAACTTGATTATGAATATATTCTTTTCACTTCTCTCTTTCTCTCTCTTGCCATTATTTTTTTTTTCAGTTAGCATTCGAAAAAGCATTAGCATTGAATGAATCAATTAGTTCTCATGAAGAGAAATTACAATCTGCCTGGTCGTCCATGGTTGATCTATTAGTTTCAGCCTATTATGATTTAACAGATAGCTTAGCTTATTTTCTTACACGTCATGTACCTGATCATAAAGCAGCTGTTTTTGGTGGATCCTATAGAAATTTAAATTATAATAATGAACTTTCTATGAATGATAATCATAATATTATTATTAATAATCACAACAGTGAAGTAATAACAAATGGTCACTTTTTAATTTCAACTTCCTTAATACATGAATTGAATGGTACATCATTGGCACCGAAATCAATAGATTTAACATTAAATAATTCTACTGGACAAACTACTACTACCTCTAATGCTGAACAAACAGATGATCAAGACGATTGGATCATTAAAGCTAGAAGAAAGTTAAATAACCTATCCAATAATGCTTTTATCGTAAGTTCTCTGTTGGTTTGTTCGCTTGTTTTCCATTCCAAATTATACACTGTCTCACGTGTATTTTGATGGGGGTTTCTATTAATAAATGAAATAATTGTTGATACATGTTAATACATAAAGTAATCTGCTGTTGTTTCTGTCCTCCTTTTTCTATTTTGACAATATTCAGATATCAGCAGTTCGAACCTGGTACATATTTATTTCGGTTGCAGCTACTACTCCGCTATCAGCAGTAGTGTGACCAAGTTATCTGAGCAAATACCAGAGTAGCAAAAGAATTGGTAATACTAAAAGGTATTAGACACAGACTGTATGACTCAAGAAGAAATAACTGATTTGTGAAATAAAAATAAAACTATCAGTATAGGATTGTGGAGACAGTTGAGCTTCATTAAAATCGTAAACCAATCAATGTTAATCAGTCATTCAGTTACAACGTAGAACTTCGTACGTACGCACATCATTCCAAGTTGATGTACCACTTTAACACACAGATACAATTGTCAATTCGAATTCCATAGTAGTAGAGTTAGTAGAAATAATAGCAGTAATCAAAAAGATTAATGATCGCATATATCATTCGTGATGTATACCGCAGAGGAATCAATTGAGAAAAGACAGAAAGAACGGTCATGAGGAATTCAGAAGACTAGGATTTGAGAGAACACAAAGAGTGAATGCACCTGCGCCATTGCGAACGGTTTTGAGCCATGTCATTCAGGGTCTCTAACCATCGATTACTATCATCTGGCGGACCTGTAATAATTAGAAGTATATGTATCAAGAATTAAAGATATGCACAAACGAATGTATTGTATTTAGAATTCGAAATCAAGCATTCCACAACAACAAGAAGTTACTAGTTCATTCAAACACCACATCCGCCACAGCTTAAATTGGAATGTATATGTCTGTAATCAGTTGTACGTCTTCTTCTCAAATTCATCCTGTGTCTGTCCGACAGTGTATTGGATAAAGGCTCTGTATTATCTAGAATGCTCTCATTAGTATTAGAATTAACAACCGAAATTGGAACAGACTCACCTGGCTCTTGGAATTGTATTTGATCAACATGTCGATTGTGTGTACTTAAGTCATTGATATCTAGAAGTCGCACCATAGATTTCCCGACATTCTTCAGAACGATCCCCGTGGATGGTCGAAGATCATTGCCACGATAATATGTAACTTCTGCAGACTCCAAACATCTCATATTCGACCGAAGAATTCTTCCTTTTAATAGTTTTGGAGTCTCTTTCGTCACTGAATGTCTGGCATTTCTATATTGCAGTAGAAAGGTATCTACTCCCCTCTCCAGCTCATTAAATGTTGAGGCGGCAATAGAATCAATAGCAGTTTTCATACCTCCACTGCACTTAGCACACGTGGCTATCGAATCTTTAAGTAAAGCATCAGAATTTTCTTTAGAAACTAGGAGAGACAACTCCACTTTAAGCCTTTTCAAATTCTTTAAACCCAGTATTGACAGTCCCGTTTCGCTAACTAAGAATTCACATGGTATGTATGAGGAATTATCATCTCTTATTAGCAATTCACAACATCGTTGTATAGGCAGTCTGTGTCCAGTAATCCCCAATATTGATACATCAGTGGGTCGTATCACAACGTTCGGATCTAACGATTTCAAGTTCTTGAATGAAATAATGGACTCTATACTGCCTGTGTCCACAATAAAGTCATGAAATGAACCAAGCGATGTATATAGTCGCTTTTGAATATGAGCATTACCTTTCGAAATGGTAGTTAAAGATAAATGATCATTAGGATCAGCTGAATTATTGGGATCTAAATTACAAGCTTTAGTACTACTTGAGGCAAAATGAACAGTAGCTTTGCATACTGCTTGAATGTGTCCTATCTTACCACATCTAAAACATTTAGCATTACGAAATGTACAGTAATAACGAGAATGAAGTTTTCCACATGATAAACATTTGCCAAACTTGGTCTCACCTTTTTGATTTCCTTTGTAATTCTTTTTTGAGACACCGTTCATATTTACACGAGAATCGGAACCTCTGTTAAACGAACACAATTTTGATTGACCCTGAGATTATTTTTCATCATGACAACTAATCAAAGTATTGGAAATCTTCATCGACTGAATATCAAGTTCATTCAACGCCTCGTAGTTAATGCACGCAGTTCTAACATCTTGAAAGGAACAGTTTGACATTCTTAACAGCTCTCTTTCCAAACTAGGTATGTTAATTCCTACAATTAATCGGTCTCTCAGCTGCACATGAAGTTGATCACCAAAATTACATTTGACAGCCTGTTTCTGCAATTCAAGAATGAATTCCTTAACATTTTGGTCATTTTGACGAATCATCTTATGAAATTTCGCTCTTTCACGGCATTCAAAACCAGGGCACTTTACATGATTCAATAATAACTCCTTTAGCATTGCATAGGGAAGTGAAATAGGTTTCTCTGGATATGCCAAGGTTTTTAATAAGCTGTACGCTTCTTTTCCGATGAATGTTAGGAAATGAGCCACAATTTTATCATCTTTGACATCTTTCCTGGTCATACTCCAGATTTCAAACCTTTCCAAATAATCTTCAAAAGCTTCAGAAGTAGAATGAATATCTAGCTGTTCCATTACAAGTTCCATCGCGACGCCAGTGTAATAATTAGAAGTATATGTATCAAGAATTAAAGATATGCACAAACGAATGTATTGTATTTAGAATTCGAAATCAAGCATTCCACAACAACAAGAAGTTACTAGTTCATTCAAACACCACAGGACCCCAACCAGGTAGTCTACATTTACCAACGTGAGTCACTCCACTTGTAAGTGACTTTATGGATTCATGCCATGTTCTGGTTCAGCCGCCCCTAGTTTTATTTAAACCAAATCCACCACAGCTCATCAAGGCTGTCGGCAGTTGGGCATTCGTAACACATGTCTCAACCGCCTCAACTGTTGAAGTTTCAGTACTGCATCAACTGATTTGCCATCCTTACCTAGTACTCGTTTCCTAACAACTGCATCGTTAACTCTACTGTCCCAGGATATACGAGCGAAGTTCCACATTGTAGCCGATAGACAGATAACGTTACCAAATATGAAGCTCAAGTTACTGTTCTTGTAATAAATTGTTTTTCATACCACTAATAAATTAATATATGGTATTCATCTAATTGATTTATTCAGATTCTAAGCTTACTTCGAATTCATTAGCTAATATTTTATATTTTTTGGTGTTTTTTAAAAATAATGAGTTTCATAAAATTAACGATAGAAATAGGTCATTCAGTTTTCAAATGAAAATCTAAAAACTATACAACTATTGAAATTTTTTACTATTTTGCCTAATTTTGCTTTTATAACCATTCACATGAATTATCATTCGAAATCTAATGATATTAAAGAACTAATACTTTTGATAATTTGTCAATTGTGGTCTAATTATATGAGATTTCAATTGACAATTCGTTGTTCTCTCTGTGCGCGCTAATGTGCTTGTAATATATTTAATTTTACATTGAAAATTATCTGTTCATATAACATCTATTTTCTAATCAACTGAATGCAGTGAAGATATTCTTTCAATCTTTCCATCCATTAATTATGTTCATCTGTGTATTTTAATTATACTGAGTTGATTTAGTTAAATATTAAAATGAAAAACTTGTACAATCGATTGAGATTGCTTGTTTTAATAACTAGCTATTAAAAAAAAACTTAGACTTTATTGTCTTTTAGTGTTTCAATCGGTCGTTTTATTTCTTTGTCAATGTTTCATGTTCATATGTAAACCGGATTTAATTTCACTGTTTATTTTCCTTTTGTAACTGAACTTATTTGATTGAATTTTTTAATTAAATAAGCTTTATATAACTTGAAAAATCGAATAACTTCTGTGTTAAGATTAAGTTAACAAATTCAGTCTCTTGTGATGGATTCGATGGTTCTGTAGTGAAGGAGAACACATGTGAGGGCAACCGAATTGTATTTATCGAAATTACAGAGTTAATTGGTAAAATAGGAAAACCATATCGTAAACCGTTAATTTGCAAAACATCAATCCATTGTCTGACATTTCACTGTTCATGCGTTTCATACAAATTCGATTGTGTTCCCACTCTTCCTTTCTTGATCTTCCCCCATCTTCTGCTGCCAGACATTACGTTTTCACTGGCGTCATGTACTACTTATAAGTAGCGCGCACCACAGTTCCAGTTAGTTTCTTTTTGTACTTTTGTACTTGATTTAACTGTAACTCCTCAGTTCAATTAAAATTTATTAATTTCTTTAAGGAAGATATATTAAGTTCAATTCTCTATCCAAAAATCTACCAAAAGCTTTTATTTTAGATTATGACATTAATTCCTATTCTGTGATTAGTATTTTAAATCGAAAAGAAATTATTGGCTGTATAGGCATTAATGTAGGGGATTTGTGGGGATTATATTGTTTTCACAGTTAAAATCACGAACTGATCCTAGCAAGACCACCACTGAAAACCTGGAAGTATTGGACCCCTGTTTCGTCCTAGTATAGGACTCTTTGGCAGCGTAGGCTCAGTAGTCTTGAGGTCAAGAGTTTGTGCACAAGACCCGAGGTTCCATTTCGGCGTGCGGAGTCGTGGGTAGGAGGAAACAGCCGTCAATTGATCCAGGTTTGCAATGGTGGTCTAGTTATGATCAGTTCGTCATTCCAACTTTGGAAATATAGAGGTTAGACAACTGCATGAGATGCTCGACAAGTATCTTCTTTGCACTGTAGAAAATAAAAACACGCGAGTTTTGTCGTTTCTCATAAGTTTCGAATCACACATTATTATACGTGTCTTATTTTTTAATCCGAATCATGTTTTTGTTTTTCATTAAAGAATTTATGTATTGATGTTTATGATGAGGCCGATCGTCGTTTAACGAATTCATTTCTTGAAAATCCTGATACATTTAATAGTTCGAAACATTTAAACAACTATTCACTATTCAATGGTTCTGGTGTTAACAGGAGTATTTTAGACAACAGCGATATCAGCACAAAAAATGAACTACATATTAGTGCAGCTAAAGAGTCTGCGCCTACACCATCTTCACACAAAACAACAACAGCAACGACACTACGTCAAACATCTCCAGTTACTAATTTAACATTATTTTTTCTACCTCCAAATACAACTTATTCATCTGTACGTAATCAAGCACGTCAAAAATTAGGTCGATTATCTACCATTGAATTTCATACTTTAACATTAGATGTTCTCACTGAAGCATCGATACGTTTATTGCCATTATTTTTACCACTGACTAATGTGATAAATCCAACTACTACAGCTGTTACTGCTCCAGTTACGACAACTGTTGAAATGCTTTTCAAAACGTCACGAAAATCGCAGCATTCCTATACAGACTATTTTAATTCAGACAAACAACAACAATTGAATGAATTCATTGTTGCACATCGTAAAGGTCCTTTACCATCATTACCATTACCGAAAATAAGCGATAATCATATTAATGATGTTGAATGTTTACATAGTACTAAAAATAGTGATGACAGTAATAGTTTATGTGATGATTTAGATAAACAATTAACTAATGGATGTACCGAAATTTCTCAAGAAGCATTAATTCTAAATAATTTATCAGATGAAAATTTACATTTAGCATTGCCATCGTCATCATCACCATTATCAAGGGTCAAAGTAAAAAATGAGATTTCATCAAAGAAATTAGGTCGTTCTCGTGATGACCCTGTATATGATCAGGTGAGCGGTAATTATTGAAAGAAATTTTGTCGTTTTTTAGTTACATTTTTTTGGTGTTTATTTATTTGTTTAAATCTTTGCCCGAGTGGGTGTATACTATGATCAGTCTGTCATAAAAACCGTGATAACATGAAACAAATACACTTTCACTCAAATCTCTATACTTCAAAACAGTACAGTAAGACAAAAGTCAAAGAAATAATTATTTTTATTACTGTCATGATAATGTCACGGTGAAAAGATACTTTCTTGTGAAGTACTTAAGACGAAAACTGGATTACAGGTGATCTTAAAAGCTAAGAGGCGTAACAGCAGAGTTCAAACGAAAACTGCATGAGGCCATTTACATACTTGTTGTTTTGCGGTAGTTCTTGATGTGGTGGCTCTGTGCTTTAACGGCGTTACCACCGGAGGCGAAGATCCATGAAGCAAGTTATAGTACGCCGTTTCTAAGGCTGACGTTTTCTAATCCCTTCATTTATGACAAGGCTGCATCACTGTGGAAGCTAGTTGCTTACGAAGGACACCTTTCTGCCGTTACACCCAAGCACAATCAGTAGTACGATCTCACTCTTGAACCTTTGGTTGCCGCTTTTTGTTTTACGCTTCTTCAATCGGCCTATATACTTTAGCATTTTCAAAAATTTGTAGAATGTAGTAATTAATAATAGCTTTCACGGAATACGGAAGAAACAAAATATAATTTATTGGTAAAGTATAAATTTGATATTATCATTGCTCGTTTGAGTAAAGTGAATTAGAAATGATTAGGCTTTGAGTGTGTGATTCAGTCGTTGAAAATTAAATTCTTCAACTATTATACTCTAGGACCACACAAACGACGTTTTACATAAATGCCTGCATCAGATATACACATACATACAACTGTTATTTTCAGACTATTTTCTCTGCGTTTCACATCGATTGTCTCATACGCATGACATTAAATCTCACTTTCAACATGCTTTAGAGATGGGTAAACAACTTGTTTAGTATGTAGTAACCTGAGAATTCATGTATTTATATTCGATGATTTTGATGTTTGCTTAGATTTTCTTTAAAAGCGAAATATTGAATTTATTTAGATTTCAGTATGTGAAATTCTTACATAATTTTCCTTGATAAGGAACTACTAGAATCGTTAAAAGACTAGTATAATAAAAAATGATATCCTGAAGATAATTTAGTTGTTGCTACTATATTAAAATACTGGCTTCGTTGGCTTGAATACACCTACAAATCAGTGATTGATTCCCGGTACTGGTATAAATTGAAGAAAGCAAATAGATAGTTAGCTTAATATATGGTTTCATTTTATGGAAGAAAGCTGCATAAATGTGGTTTTTGTCAGTCCATCCCGACTATCCAGTTAGTAAAGTTTTCTTTATAAGAAGGAAATTTACATTTATTAACAAAAACTAGATGAATTGGAGTCAGGCTAACATTCATTGTTTAATTGTATTGTGTTTTCCTTTCATTTCTTCACAGTGTTATCGCCTTATTTTGTGTAGCATATAGATTATTGCTGCATAGTTGTGACAGATTTTATGTATATTGAATAACTAAGTTATATTAGCAGTGTGTTAACAAACAAAATGTCAATTAATAATTTTTTTATATCTTTTAAAAAACCCAATTTTCACACAATATTGATTGACTTCAAATTGTAAAGTATACTATCTGTTTAATGCTTCCTAACTTTCCAGGGTTCTGTAACTGTGATATGTCTTTGTTTTTTTGATGAAAATTAACTTGATCAATTTGAACAGTTTTCGAACTAGTTTGTGCATGCATTTTTACAGTTCTAATTGCTTACCTATTACCGCTGAAGTTTTTCAAGTACTTGAAAATGAGGTAGAAATTAATGTCTTTTATCACTTTAGTATTTTGGATATAAGATAAATGTGAACATTTTTATTGCTTTGGTTTGGGCACCCAGGTTGTAAGTATCATAGCCCACACAGAAGCCAAATAATAACTATATCTGGAAAATGTGATGTTCGTTTCAACTATTACTCTCACAAATCATACTTATAATTATTTGATAACATTAATTTTTAATTTGCATTGAGTCACTTGTTTATTCCTTTATTCCTCTTTTGGATATTCTTTACTCTTCTACTCATACAGTAGCTCATTTATGGTAGAAATCGTGTTCTACCTAAAAAATCTGATTGTTCAAAATTTGAATGCTGTTACCGAATACGAATTCTGGATCAGATTTTCTAAAACCACGTATGCCATTTAAGCTAACCTCTTTCACCGTTAACACGCTAATTCAGGCTGGACAGCACATAGGGTTAGCTATGCTTTTAAAAAGTTCGAACATCGATGTGGGTTATTTTTCCAAGACCCGTATTCAAAACTCTAGTGATGTACTACACATTCGCTTCCCATCTGCTTCTTCGAAAAGCTAATTTCGCGTCCGTTTATCAGGGGGACCCTATGGCATATTCGTTCGGTCCTGCTGGCATTTGTATCGCGCTAAGCTCTAGGGCCAAGGCAGCGCTAATTGATCGGATCTCCTCTAAAAGTCGATTATGTGCTGTTATATTAGGAAGCTCCATCAGTCAGAAGAAATTAGTGTAAAAAACGAGGCCTCTTCGTTACCTCCTCCTACACCTCGACAAATTGCAGTCCGGATGTAGTCAAAAATAAGTTCTGTCACCGTTTATCGTCTCGAAAAATTGCGTTCGACAGATATTGTAGTACTGGGGCATCAAGGCGCAGTGTAGAGTCATCTGGATGATCAACTGGGATTTGTCGGTCACCGATCGGATAACGGTGATCGTCTACTGCAACTTTTCACAGACTACAATCTGTTTCTGACTACCCCTACCTATCGACAAAGTGATCGCTGATGTGCTAACTGACGTCCCCCCTTTGCATCTGAAGCCTGAACTCAGATTAGTCACATCGTGACCAGCTACCGCTGATGTGGTTGTGTACAAGACTGCCACTCATTTGAAGTACTTATCTGGATTGCAATCATGCACTTGTTTGCGCTAGTCTCATCTTACATGATCAACAAATTCATAATCCTCAACGGATTAATATCAGGAAATTGGTTATAGCTTCTGTTACAATTACGTATCAAACCGAACTATGTTTAAGGCTAGCTACCGACCCACGGAAAAATGCAGGTGTGTACTGGTTGCAACTGCATGATGCCATGAAGTCGCTTGTGTCTTTGCGAAATATTCCTCTTAAAACCATTGAGTTTCTTCAGAATCTTCACAACTCGTTGAGGTACGTCGATCTACTAAGGCTAGTCGCGCGTTTGACCATAAACGAAGATTATTACGTGACCAAAAAGTGCAAAGTTTAAGGTTGTGTGTGGAGGGATACTGGAAGTGAATGCATGTAGTTTATTTTGAACGATTGTGAGCCATGTGACCCGAATTCTCCAAAAACTGATTTCTATAATCAAGCGAATTCCAACAAGGTAGTTAGCATTTATAAACATGGCTTGAACCACATTTCGGTTTGATTGAATCTAGATTTCTTCCAACCTGCTTCCATATCAGCAGGCATCACACATTAACGTAGGTGTAGTTAGATATCCTTGACACGTATCTAAGCCATCTCAGTCGAAGCAGATTCACTAGCCCATCAAATTGTTTGCTACCTAAGACTAACACTAAAGAAATTATGTTTATTTTCTAGAATAAGAAGTCATTAACAGTTTACAAGCTGTAACCAATAGTTTATAAACGCTTCGTGTAAAATCATTGATTGATCATACCGATCTATTGGAATACTGTGTATTAATAATAATAGTGATATTATTATTATCAGCAGAGGTGGATAGTGACTAGCGTTGGAATCCAGGACGCGCATCTTGTCCTATTTCGAACTCAACAGCTGGAAGTACCTGCATCTCATAGTTGGTGTTCACTTCAGGGCTCGAACTCACTACATTACACTTCAAGTACCAGCACGTTATTCACTTAGCTACTGAGTCTGGATATGCCAAAGAGACTGGTCAATTGTAGTCCTAAACATCAATAGAAAGATCCAAATATGCAATACAAACGAATTAATCTTCATCCTATCGCATAAGCGAGTGGCTATCTGGACTCAGCAGCTTAGTGGATAACACGATGGTGTTTGAACTGTAAGGTACTGGGTTAGAGTCCCAGATTGAACATCAACTCTGAGATGCTGACACATCCAGCTGATGAGTCCCAGGGAGGACGAAACGGATATCATAGATTCCACTGCTAGCCACTATCTTTCTCTGCTAATAATGCTTGTAACCTGAAGGATATATTGAGGCGATCCTCACAGGATGCACATATGGCAACTAGACTGGTCAATTTCAGTCCTAAACATCAATGAGAATATTCAGACAAGCAATTTAAATGTATTATTATTATCGTCAATATCAGTACATTTAATTTTTTTCTAGTGGTATTTGTTATTGCTCAATTAATGTGATTGAAATGAATGTGTTTTCCACAGTTTTCAAGTGTCACTAAGACGGAAACAGATTTATATAACTTTCAATCGTTGACCGCACCACATTGATAGCTACAGGAATGTGTATAAATTTGTTTAAAATAAATTTTTGAATATGAGCTCAAATGATATATTAAGTTTATTTGTGTTGGTTGTTTAAATCTTACCGTTAATTTGATGAACTGCAATTGATTGGTCTCTTTTAGCATATGTGCATCCTGTGCGCATTGCTTTGATAATGTCATTAAGTCACAAGCGTTTTATGCAGATTGCGATGGTGGCTAGCAGTAAAAATGTCTGTATCTATTCGGGACTTAGCTAAATGTACCTGCACCAGTGTTGACAATCACATTTGGACTCGAATTCAGTACACTTGGCTTCAAACAGCCAACCTCACTCATTTTTGATCTCAATTATCAAATTTGACTAGTTATTATTAAGAATAAATGATTTAGTGAACAGTTCAGTCAAAATTGTTAATATCATTGGAAACATCTAACTATTCCTATTAATAGTAATAACAGTAATTGCATCAACACAGGAAACGAAATTGAGTCTCCTTCGCATTAATGTCAGTAAGGTGTTGCAGAGATTGAATCTCACTAAAATCATGAACTGACGACCATTGAAAACCTAAAAGCTTCAGATCGTTGTTTCATCCTAGTACGAGATTCTTCAGCAGTGCACATTCATACCCCTGCACATGGGAATCAAACCAGAGACCTTCAGTTTCGTGCACGAATATTTAACCTCTAGACCACTGAGTCGTTACCTATGTATGTGAATCTTTATAGTTTATCTTTTCATACTTTAAAAAGTGTTTCGGATACATTATTATAACCACTTATACCAGACTGCAGAATAAAATTCCCGTCAGTTAATGAATTAATTCTAATAGACACAATAATATTGTAAATTGCATTAATGAGTCATTATTACTGGTAAGTCATATTACTCATGCAAAATGGTAACAGTACAAGGTCAAATGAGTGAGTAAATAAAGAATGTCATATATGGGATACAAATTGGTCTTTTCACTTGTAATATTTTATCCTAATTTGTTCTTTTGGTAAATGTTGTTAGTTAAATCTTGTAACAGAATACTGTATCAAATGTATCTTCTCAGAATGTACATATAGCAACAAACCTCGATTGATTCTACATTTCAGGGTATTAATAATGGCAGTTTAAAAATGTAATAAATAATCACCTTTGGACAAGTTAGTGATTATTTAGATTCGCTAGCTCAGTGAATAATACGTTGGGCGTTCGAATCTTAATGTGAATGTATACACTGGAATACCGGTGTGTACAGCAGACAAGTTACAAATAAGACGAAAGGCGCGTCCTAAATTACACTACTGATTATATGCTAAATATACCAAAACTTGTTACACAACTCTTTATCGGGGTAATTTGTCCAAAATGAACATATGACGCTGGAGAATGATCATTTGCAGTCTTGAATTTTAACAACAGGAAATTATACAGTTAATTTCAGTGGTTATCGAAAGTAAATTTTCATAACACAAGTATAATATTTTAGAATTCAAATAAATTATTCACAGAATAGTTGTGTAACTAGTAGTCAAAATTGTAAATAATTGGTTGACTGAGAATTTGTTCGAATACAAGTATCCGGTTAGTTATATCATTCAACATTATACAATTGATAGAGCTTATTACAAGCAAATGGTCCTATTCTATGTGAAAACAAACAGTCTGGCGAGGCGGTAAATCTAGCTTTCAACAAATTGTTCTTAATGTTGAGTTTACGTGAAGCTCTATGTTTCGTTGTTAAAGTAATTTTTGAAATTATATTTACTATTTAAAAATCTTTGTTATCTCTTTGTTTCCTACAAGTTTCGGTCTTCTTCTCCCTTATTAATATTAAAGTTAATTTCTAATCTGGTTTGTATTTTTCCTCCTTTCTCGTCCTCTCTCTATCATTGTATTTTATATATCAGTTTTTATATCTTCTAACTGATAGGAAAAATCACAACAAATGATTTTAATTATCAGTATAGTGTTGTGGAGATTGTTGAGTCTGATTGAATTTATGAACTGATCTATGTTAGACCACTATTAATCGAGGGGCTAAGCGTTGGCGCTCCTGACCGACGGTCCTGGGCTCGATTCCAACTCTCAGAGTTGTGGATTCGCATTGCTGACGAGTCTCATAGTAAGACGAAACGGCTGTTCAGGTTTCCAACGTTGGTCTATCACTGATCAGTTCATGATCTCAATCAAATAACTGTACAATAAATATGATGTAAATGTATGAATTATTTTGCTAAACAGTTTTGAATTTATCTGCAATCACTAAATTTTCTAGTCTAGATAATATTGTATGTACAAATCTGTATATTGATAGCACTTTGTGACGTTGGATTGTTTAAGCGTAGTCTAGTTCATCAGATCAAAGAGTAAAGCGATGTTATCTAAATAAAGTATTAATATGAACAAAATATCTCAGACTTCAAGGTTAAAGTCCGGTTTACGTATTCTATCAATAATAACATTCTTGATGTTTGATTGCTGTAAAATGTAAAGCACACGAGTTAACATCTTATTATAACAGTTAGCTGGTTACATATATTCTATAACTAAGAAAAGGAGGTTATTTCAGGAAAATACAGAAATTCGGGTAAAGCGAAACTATGCCGCTGAACAGTCTGAAGATTATAACCTGTTTTGTCAATCAGAAGTTAGAAAAGGTAAATGAAAAAAGACCAGTTACAAAGAATTTACTTATCTATTTGCTTTAAAGCATTCTTAACCCATAAAACTGATATCAGCTTTTTGATGAGAACTCTTCTAACCTGTACTAGTAAGCTTAATTCTAAATACTCATTTCTAGTCTTATTTTGGATAAATCCTCCATGACCTTGGAATGATTTGTACTTGCCTACACTGGGTGGTATTGTTTAGCTTTATCGAAGTTTGTTAAACTGAAAATGTTTATTAAAAAAATCAATAAAGTGTACTGTAAAAACAATACTTTTCAATAAAATAATCCTGATATGTAAAATGAAATTTATTGACTAAATATTATCGGTAAAAAAAAATTATTTAGTTTGTTATCTGTTATATTTCTACTCGAACAAATGATATTTTACTCTTGAAATATGTTTTAGAATATAATTTTCATTAAGTGTAAAAGAACCTGTGTCTTTTTCCCGGCTGAGTTTAATTGATATATATATATATATATATATATATATATATATATATATATATATATATATATATATATCCTCTTCTTCACAAAATAGATGACCAGGTTAAAAATTTATTACCATATATAATCTGGCTCTATTTCCTAATGAAAATACATTAAGATGGTAGATTAGGATTAAAAACATTTTCACTACTCCACAAAGTTTAAACACTGAAAGGTATATAGGCTACGAATTTATGGTCTTATGTCCTATTCTTTACAAAATGGTTGACCAGGTTAAAAATTTACTTACCCAAAAATTTAAAATAAATCTTCATAGATGTTATTATAAAAGCTCACCATCATACTCTATTTTCTGAATATATTTCTTAGCTTATTCTATTTACTTTCACATTTAGGTGGCTGGTGAAGGGGATCTAAATGAGAATACTTTTTCCAACATACAAACAATCCCATCCTCTGATCATAATATACTTCCTGTAGATATTGAAGAAAGTAGTTTAACTAATCAACAAGATAAAATAGAAAGTTCATTAGTTGATCATAGTAATACTACATTAACATCTTCATCATCACCATCTACTGAAAGAAAATCCCGTCTTCATGGACAACAAATAAGTGATGGTAATGATGAATCAGATTCAATTGGACCGATACCTCCAATTACAAGTCGTCCAGGTCCACTACCTGGATCACGTCGACTACATTTATCACATACTGGTCGTATAGCTCAGCATAGAGCTAGTGTACCTACGGCTACTACAATTACAACTACTTCTAATGTTACTGGTTGTAGTAGTAATCCTCTTTCTTTATCCGAATCAACAAGTAGTATAGTAAAATCATCTGATTTATCAAAGAATCTCACACTACATTCATTCATTAATTCTCTTAGTCCAGAAAATTCTAATGATATTCAAGACCATTCACCTCGATCACATACTCATCATCAGCATCATCCAGAACTTTGTTGTGTAGCTGCTCGTAATGAAGTGGATCGTTTACGTAAAGAAAATAATGAATTAAAAGTGCAATTATCTGATTTACAAAATAGTAAAGATATTGTTGAACAACGTCTAGAAGATTTAGAAGGACGTATTATTCAACTGGATTCTATTGTTCAAGTTTTAAAGGAGGAAAAAGTGAGTGAATATTGTTTTTATTATTCGATTCTTTCTTTCCTATTTTAATCTAAATTTACATATTCATAAAATTATTACATAATCCATGACATAGTTATGGAGACTGTTGTTATTGGGTGTAGGCAGTAACTATTGAAGGGAATGGGTGAGGTTGCTCGAAATCTTAGATTGATCAAAGTTAGACATTGAAAACATTGAGTCTATAGTTTAAGCATTCGCGCGCGTGAAACCGAAGTCCTGGATTCGATTTCCGCTCTCGCGGTTGTGAATGAGCAGTGGTGAAGAGTCCCATACTAGGACGAAACGGCCGTCCAGTGCTTCTAGGCTTCTAATAGTGGTCTAACGATTTATGAGTTCTTAGCTATTATCAACAAGTATAGGTTATAATTACTAAAGCATTCTAGTAAAGATGAAAAAATGCTTTTATTATTGGTCATTTCAACCTAAACAACAATTCTATGTCGTAAAAAATAAGTGAATTTCAATTCAGGTCACATTTGCTAACGTTTTGTAGTGTATTAAGTTAAATTAATTATTATGTAACTAGGTGTGGTGAGAAATTGATGAAAATTCTTTGTTTTTTGTCAAACTGTTCATTATTTTGTAACAAGAAAACATTTTATTTTTTTTTGTCGCAGGAATTTCTTTCTGAATAGTATTTTTTTTCTCAGTTTATCATTGCTATTATAAACCTTGAATCATTTTGATGAATATTTGTTTAGTGTTATTATATTTCAGAATTTATTATGAACATCTTGTAAACAATAAATATATTTACTCTTTCAATGGTTTGTGTTTAATTTTTGATAATTTATGTAATTATTTGATGAGATTGATTTCACTGTTTTGAACTACAATGTTAGCTAAATCGTACATTATTTTTCATCTTAATTATTTGTTTAGATGTTCGTTTTTCCATTGTTTAAACATGTTTTAAAATAAGTATCTAATGAATTTCATTAAATTCAGTATTTATTATTAGATTCTTCTTAATGCCTTTAGCTTTTAATTTGGAAATAAAGTTACTAACATGGATCTGTGACTCAATGGTAAAGTGATATGCTCGAAACTATTATGAGTTCACCTTACTGGCTAAACGGAACGAAGATCCACGATACAGTGACACGATAGGCTATTCTAATCCGATTGTCCTCGGCCCTGCTAACTAGATCACTAAGGCTTGATAAGGAGTAGAGAATGTATTCTACAAGCACCCAGAAAATTTGAGGTTGCTAAGCACACAACTCAAGCTTATTTATACAATTACAGAAAAGCCCTTGGTGAGAGTCACAAAATACCGTACTAAAAAAATCCGTCAACCAATGACAGTCAAGGATTTCTGAGTGGGAAATTTAAGCTGTAGGTCAACTAAGCGTCTCTTGGTGCGAAAACGTAAAAATTCAAAATTTTGGAAATAAGTTACAAAATGAAGACCATTTCCAAGTGAGTTCTGAGGATCTAACGTCCCCGACATAAAGGTGTTCTACATTTTATGAACGTACTTCGATTTGAATAAACGGGTAGTATAGTATTACTAGCAGGTTTTCTAAAGATCTTATCAAGTAATCTCAGTAAAATGTAATTGATAGATGTTCTATGCATCTACACCTATAATTTTTATCTCGATATGTTCATCTTTACTATTTATATTTGTGAAATTCCCATATTATCACTGTTGTTGTAGTATATTTTTTATCTGTCAATTTCTGTGTTTAGCATTCTCATCATAGTTTAGTACATTTTGTATAATTTCTTTGAAACTCTTGACATATTAGTTCGATGTTTTCATTATGACAGTCATAAATAATGACGATAATTATTATCAATTTTATATACAACTCTTTGGAATGTTTTATTTCTTTTAAAAATAGTTTATGTAAATATTTTTGTATGATGAACTGATATCATTAGATTTTTTTTTCATATTTTAGTTTTTCCGACATTGAATGATAGGTTTAATTTGAAAATTTCTTATTTATTGAAAATCAAAAATAATTATTAACATTATAAAAGAGTAGTAACTAGAAATTGTATTTCACATTTAAAGAAACCATGCTTATAATTACTGAGGTTAGGTATAATATTTACACAACTTCTAGTTACGTCTTCAGTTATATGAGAGTTTTTTAAACTTATGTTATAATTTCGAAAAAAACACTAAGCAAGTAAATGTAGTTGACTAGGTACAAATCACCTTTTGAATTGAAGTGTTAGATTTGAGAAAGTAAAGATATTATTAGTGTTTATTTTTCTATTATATCGAACTAAGTCGATCTTCCAAACATTGTTGGATAGATGTTATTTTGATGTTTTTAGTTAAATCATTCTCGAGAGTTTCCCCAACATTCTCTGATCTGAACGCTAAATCTTCATGGTAAATTTCTGGGCAAATCAAAAATTGTTTAATAATAGGCGGTTATACTACACAATAATCCCCTCTGTGTCATTCACTGTATAACTGTAATACATAGTCGTTGAAACCACAAAATATCCATAAATCACAACTGTTGGATCTTACATGTTAGAAACACTGAGTTAAAAAAAACATTCGAATGAATTTCAGAGTTCTAGCTGAGGATAAATCAATTCAACTAATGTCCATTGATTTAGTCAAATCGATTACATTATCTATGTGAAATTCCTGTCCCTACTGATTTCCAATCTTTCATGAAATAGGATTAGTCTAACAAAAAAAGACAGGATGATTTATTCAACCAGTCCTGAATATCAATTTGATTTTGATAGATAGTTATCAGCTTTCTAGTTGATTGTTTTTTCTGAATACGTTATGCGACATATCTATTTCAATAATCTTTATTCATTTACATTCTAGTCTACCTACCTTTTGTTTATTCTAGTATTATTTGGTTCTTTTCCAATTGTTTCATAGGAAAAATAACTAACAACTTAAAGCAGTCTATATTTATACAAAGTTGTCTGTCTATATTTTTTGTTAATTAAGTTTCAAACACCGCATTAAAACTTACTACATCACATCACCACCAACCACCAATGGAGGGGTTTGACAGAGGGCTATCGTTCATTCTGGTGCACAAGTTTAGATTCAGATCATGCTCTAGTGCGAGCCTGTATTTGTTCGTGATTTAATGGACGTAGGAAAGGCACGGCAAGAAAACCTTTTAGGGTCATACTTAATGATAAAGCAAAGTATATTTTTCAGGAACGACTAGAAAAACAGTTAGGCGGTCATGTAAGTGATCCTCACCCCACGGAAGCTTGGAATGATATCCGAAAGACTGTGGACAACAAGTTAGGGATCGAGTACTAGGTAAGGACGGCAGATCAATAAGTGAAGTATTGAAACTTCATCAGCTGAGGTGGTTGGAACATGTGTCACGTATGCCTAACTGCCAACAGCCTTGACGAGCTCTGTTTTGTGGTGTAAAAGCTTGGAAGAATGCTAGGAGCGGCCAAACCAAAACATAGCAGAAATCCATGAAATCACTAACAAATGGACTGATTCATCTTAGTAAATGTAGGCTACCTGGTTGGGGTCAGCGAGATGAAGTAATCGATGGTTAGAGATTTTGAATGGAATGGCTCAAAATCGTTTGCAGTTGCGTAGGTGCATCCATTCTTTGTGTTCTCTCAAATTTTAATCTTCAGGATTCCTCATCATCTCTGCCTTTCTCTTTCTAAATGTATCTCACTGAATTATACTTGTTGAATTATATCTTCGAACCCTAATCTTCTCCATTACTGGTAATACTTCTACTATCTTTACCATTATTGGATTTGAAGTGATAGTTACGTCTCTGTGCTGATGGAGTATGACAGCCTGAACTGATGTACTTAAGTACGAAGTTCTACGTTGCAACTGACTGAATGACATTAAATTTAGGATCTCCTTCACTTATTTTTGGTAATGTTTTTTTTACATCAGCATTTTCCCCGCTTGAATTTCTATTCTTGTTAGTTAATATGATCAACTTGTAACAATGTTAGATGATGCTACGATATATATATATAATATTGATATCGGTTTATTTGTTATACAATAATGACAGATAGTATAGTCGAATCGATAATAATAATGGTGATAATTCAAGTGATCTTCCTATGACTATTCCGTTTTTTGTTCATGTGGAGTTTTAGTAGCACCAATATTGGTTCAAATTCTGTTCCATATACTTGAGGTTCGGGCAGTTGAATAGTAGTATGTCACTAGCATTCTGATGCAGGGTACCGTATGATTAACCGAGATTTGTTTTCCTTTTCTGACTAGTGAGACACACACACTATTGGGTTAAACGTACGACTCAAAATTCGTATATATATATATATATATATATATATATATATATATATATATATATATATATATATATATATATTATCTCAAATATCATTTACTTTTTACATGAATAACAAGAAGATACATATGTATAGAAAAATAAATCCAGTTCATAGTTAGTATCAAATTACTAAAACTTGATGATTTAAAGGGGTATGAACGTTGATGAAACTAATCGGAAATATATTCAATACTTCACCAGTTTAATAATTAGATAATTATAGAAAACATATTTCATTGCCAAGTATTTCATTGCAAGTATTTTTAAACAGTATTGGAAGATGTTTGTGATAATATTGATGCAATCCTTACAGATTGCACAATTTGTAATTTTACCAGATATATTCAGCACGACTACTACTATAGATAAATTGAAATTCTCTCCTATTGTTTAAGCTAGTTAATATATGGGATCAGTAGCTAAGTAAATAACGTGTTATGCGTTTGAAGCAGAAAGTACTTGGTTTGAGTTACCACCGCTGGAGTCCAAGTAATGAGTCACGAATGGGATGTAACGCACATACTGAATTTCACTGTTAGCCAGAGTTCAACTGTGCTGAATAATGATCGTCAATTTATTGGTTTTTAATGAATTTCATGTATGTATGCTTCCTTTTAATTTTGCTTCCTATATATATATATATATATATATATATATATATATATATATATATATATATATATATATTTGATTTTTTTTACTTTAGTCTGCTTTATTAGCAGCTTTCTCAGCTGGTATGGTTATGGTTCATAATCCATCGAAAACAAACTGTGATTCAGATGGTCATCAATTAACCAGTGAAACAGCGATCACAACAGCAACATCCATGGGAGTGTACTCATCCAAATTGAAGCCTATCAATGGTAATGAAACACCTTTAACACATCATCAATGGAATTATGATAAGGACGAAGAGAATGGATGTAGAGTATATAGTGAAGGACATGGTGATGATGAAGTTGGTGAAGTGGATACTGAACAATATAAAGACGATGATTCTGAATACGATATGGAACGGGTTGTTACTGGTGGTGGTGGCTGCGATAATGATAAGTCAAGCAATGGAGGTAATTATGCAATGGGTTCACATTGTCTTGATTCCGGTGTACTACTTAGACAAGGAATTATTCTACGTGGAAGCAGAGGTGGATCACCAGCAGCGGTGACTGCTGTTGGTGGTGTAACGCATCAAACAGTTTTCAGCCATTCACATCCTTCTATTTCTCAATCGAATATTATAACGCCATCTCTGCATGGTTTTGTACAAAATAATAATTTACCAAGTAGAAACAATGAAGAACAAAAGCAATCATCTGTATTCACTTCAACCAGTCAAACTGTTATCTCATCTGGACCACAAAATATTCCACTTTACGTTAACACTCCACATATTCAACCACCTATGTCCAAGTCAAAACCAGCCTTAGTGTCGAATGCTTCAATTAAACTTGCTGAAGGTATGTGCTGACATTTTTTCAGTGTATTCCAAAAGCGTTGGAATGCCTTCTGTTGTTTTATTGTTAACAGATAATGAATAATCGATCAATATTGGTAAATAAATGTCGGGTTTATCGTAAATCAGAATGTGTGACATTATTTTATTACTTTAAAGGTGTCATGACACAAAAACACATATTGTTAATAATGATGTTTGGCTGATCGGGTACTGACGTATTTTCAAATAATTGATGACTCCTCTAGAAATATGAGGAAATGAGATGATTAATTATTAACATAGTGTTTGTTCATCAATGGAATGAAAAAATTTTGTAGTTGTGAAATTTGGTATAACATAATAATAGAATAGTGGCTCAATGGTTGAATTGTTTGGCTTTCAGTCACCAAATCTCGCGTTTCAAAACTGTTCCATCGACTTCGAATATAGGCCAATAGACCGTAGCTGCTACCTTGACGTGATGGTCGGGCTTGCCTATTGTGATGACCCAACCGAGCTCTATTGGCTGGAACATATGTACCTGAAGGTTCTACCATGCCAGATAGGTCGATTGGAGAACGGTGAGACTAAAAGCAGTTACTCAAGGTCTGAGGGCGAAGTCTTACTGCTGACTGCAGAGAGGTGTGACAGCAGTAAGGTATTTCCCTCGGACAACCAGCATCTGCAGCGATGCTGCCTTCTCACAAGGAAGGAAGTGTTAGAAAAGGTCGACCCTAAAATGTGACCGGCCTCAAGCAGTTGTGCCTTGGGCTCTGTGGTCAAGCTCCCAGGTCTCCAAGACCGACCCTAATCTACCTTCCTTTTCAGGTCCCTCAAGGGACGACCTTCCACGGTGTGGGCAGGCGGGAAGCGACAACCGCCCTCATACCAGTAACAGCACACGAGACCGAATTGGTCACAATCAAATCCTTCCTACACCCCCTAACTTCCCCGTTATCCTCACGACTAACTCTACTCACATTACTTTGTCACCCCGCACCTCTGATGCAAGCGATTCGAGTTCCCGAAACGTTATTCCTGGTCTCTTGAAACCTCGTTCTAGTCTACATGTTGGAGCATTTAATGTTCGGACATTGCGTCGAATAGGGCAACGGGCTTCACTAGCTAGGACTTTAGAATCTCGTCCCATCGATGTATGCTGCGTCTCGGAAACGCGCATACAGGATCCGAGTAAAGTCATTAATTTGATTTCACCTTGTCAAAACAAAGAAGCAGCTCGATTTACTCTTCGTGTATCTGGTAGCCCTGATGCTGCTGCTCGAGGTCTAGCTGGCGTAGATATAGCATTGAGTCGTATGGCAGAACTAGCTTTCCTAGAATGGATCTCAGTAGATAGTCGCTTGTGAGCTGTCCGACTAAACGGGACAGTAAGGACTCGTAAAGATAGGGACACTCGCCGTCGCCTGTTCCTCGTATCTGCTTACGCACTGGCTGCAGTTCAGACGGGGTAAAAGATGAGTTTTACAGAAAGCTTCCAAACCTCCCAAAAGCTAGGCACTCTGATGTAGTAATAATAGCAGGTGACTTTAATGCTCAGGTAGGTAGACTAAGTGAGCAGGAAAGACACCTGGGTAGACCTTATGTTGTCTCGGCTTAGAGAGCAGATAATGGTTACCGTCTGTTGTATATATGCTCAGATAACCGCCTAGGAAGAAGCTGTGGATCTCAGTAGCATCTACCGAACTGATGGATGTTCGAAAACGCATCCCATCTGGCTCTGAACATGATGAAGAGCGAAGTCAGCCTCGGTACAGGCTGATAAAAAGCCTACGCAACGCCTGTGAATAGTGGTGGGTGGCGAAATCTAAGGCGATGGAAAAGGCAGTGGCGATAGGCAACAGTAGACAACTTTTCCGCCTTATAAAGGAAACCGTTATTAGACATCCATCTGTAGTCGAAACTATCTCAGAAAATGATGGTTGTATCATTCATTCTTAGTCCAGGAGATTGGATTCATGGGCAGAACGCTTCATCGATCAGTTCATCTGGCCTCCATCCACACTTCGGTTACCCACGATCCACAGTCATCTCGAGTGGCAAGTTGATTTAAGTCCTCCATATCTGAACGAAGTTGAGAAAGCCATAGGAAATCTAAAACCACGGAGAGCAGCGAGTACTGATAGGCTAACTCCCGAGATTTTTAATGATGGTGGTCCAGTTTTAACAGTTAGATTGACTGAGATCTTGGGTAGAATTTGGGAACTGGACGTAATCCCATCCGACTGGTCTCAATCTCTGATTGTCCCAATTTGTAAGAAAGGACAAGTCTTTTTGTGACAATCACACGGGAATCAGTCTAATTGATATATCTTCTAAATTGTTAGCTTCGATTATGCTTAGACGCCTAACTATAACTCGTGAAGAGCAGACTCGGAAAAACCAGTCTGGTTTCCGACCTGGACGTGGTTGTATAGACCACATCTTCATTCTACTATAGATCCTGGAACACAGACACACATGTAGGCGTCTTACAATAGTTGTTTTCCTTGACCTAAAAGCGGCATTCGACTCTGTAGATCGTGAGATTCTGTGGCAGTCTGTCATTGAAAGGTGTATCAAAGAAGTACGTTAACCTTATACAAGCTCTCTACTCGAACACCACTGGTCGAGTGAGGGCTTATGGCGAACTTTCTTCGGAATTCTTTACCTCAAGTGGTGTCCGTCAGGGATGTCCACTCTCCCCATCCTTGTCGTAGATATGCATTTAGAGTTAACATTATCTTCGTCTGACTTTTCAGTGGTCGACCTCTTACCAGGAGACACACTTGCTGACTTAGAATATGCTGATGACATAGTTCTATTCGGTGAAGAAGCTGATAAAATGCAGAGTCTTCTGACTACCCTAAGCAACGATGCAAGCATATTCGGCATGTGATTCTTCCTGCCGAAATTCAAAATGCTGCTTCATGATTGGCTCACATCGGCACCTGAACTAGTGATAGGGAGTGAAGCAGTTGAGCGTGTTGACCGCTTCATTTATCTTGGGATTCGGGTCAGTGCTGATAGCTTGGTGTGTGACGAAATCTCAGCCGGGATGCAGAAGGCTGGACTGGCTATTGCCAACTTGTGTCACTTATAGCGTAGGTGAGATATCCGCCTACTAACCAAAAGGACGAGTGTCCTCCGCATCAGTTCATTCCATCATACTATACGGATGCGAAACATGGTCTGTGAGAGTAGAGGACATTCGTAGATTGCTTGTCTTCGAAGCATTGCTCGTATATCCGAGGACAGCCGAGTAAGCAATGCTGTCGTTAGGAAACGAGTACTAAGTAGGGATGAAAAAAATCAATAGATGAAGTGTTGAAACTTCATCAGCTGGGGTGGTTGGGACGCCTGTTACGTATGCCCAACTGCTGAAAGGCTTGACGAGCGGTGTTTTGTGGTGTAGAAGTAGCTTGGAAGAAAGCTAGGAGCGGCCAAACCAAAACATGGCAGAAATCCATGAAATCACTAACAAGTGGACTGCGTCATACCCGACCGTAGCTGCTACCTTGACGTGGTGGTCGGGCTTGCCTATCGTAATGACCCAGCCGAGCTATACTGGCTGGAACATATGTTCCTGCAGGTCCTACCATCTACTACCTAAAATATTGGCCTCAATAATACTTCGACGCTTAACGAAAGCTCGTGAAGAACAGACTCGAGAAAACCAGTCCGGTTTTCGACCTGGGCGTGGTTGTATAGACCACATCTTCACACTACGATAGGTCCTGGAACACAGACACACATTTAGACGTCCGACAATAGTCGTGTTCCTGGACCTAAAAGCGGCATTCGACTCAGGGGGATTCTCGTCAGTGCTGATAGCTTGGTGTGTGACGAAATCTCAGCTCGGATACAGAAGGCTCGATTGGTTTTCGCCAACCTGCGTCACTTATGGCGTAGGCGAGATATCCGTTTGCTGACTAAAGGACGAGTGTATTGCGCAGTAGTTCGCTCCGTCTTACTTTGTGGCTGTGAAACATGGCCAGTGAGAGTAGAAGATATTCGTAGGTTATTGGTTTTCGATCATAGGTGTCTTCGAAGCATTGCTCGTATATTGTGGGACACCCGAGTAAGCAACGCTGTTATTAGGAATCGGGTGCTAGGTAAGAATGGCAGATCAGTCGATGAAGTATTGAAACTTGACCAGTTGGGGTGGTTGGGACATGTCTTGCGTATGCCTAACCACCGACTGCCTCAACGAGCTTTGCTTTGTAGTGTAGGAATAGGTTGGAAGAAAGTTAGGGGCAACCAAATCAAAACATGGCAGAAATCCATGAAGTCATTGAAGAGTGGACTTAGCCATGTCGGTTGTTGTCGACTACCTGGTTGGGGTCCGCGAGATGATAGTAATCGATGATTAGATACCTTGAATGACATGGCTCAAAATCGTTCGCAATGGAGCGGGTGCGTTTATTCTTTTTGTTCTCTCAAATCCTAATCTTCTGGATTCTTCAACACCTCCAGTTTTGACTTTCCAAACTTTTCTCATGTAATCATACTTCTTGAATAATATCTTCTAATCCTAACCTCTCCGATTACTTCTAATACCTTTACTACCTCTTCTACTATTGGATTTGAATTGACAATTACATCTCTGTACTGATGTGGTATGGCGACGTGAACTGATATACTTACGTACGAAGTTCTACGTTGCATCTGACTGACTGACTGGACTGCGTCATGTTGGTAAATGTAGGCTACCTGGTTGGGGTCAGCGAGATGAAGTAATCGATGGTTAGAGATTTTGAATGGAATGGCTCAAAATCGTTTACAGTTGCGTAGGTGCATCCGCTCTTTGTGTTCTCTCAAATTCCAATCTTGAGAATTCCTCATCATCTCTGTCTTTCTCTTTCTAAATGTATCTCACTGAATTATACTTGTTGAATTATATCTTCGAACCCTAATCTTCTCCATTACTGGTAATACTTCTACTATCTTTACCATTATTGGATTTGAAGTGATAGTTGCGTCTCTGTGCTGATGAGGTATGACAAACTGAACTGATATAATCATTTTCGAAGTTTTACGTTGTAACTGACTGACATTTCTGTAGTTTATTACCTAGCATATGTTTGTGCACTCAATCAGCCATAATTCATATCAACGCATCGAGACAGGTAGAAACTGATTTAGATGAAGAGCAGAAGAACTGAAATTTTCATTGTATGAATAATAATCATGCAACCGATACCTAAAAAATGTACATTAAAAATAATATTAGTAGCGGTTATTGGTAACCTTGAAACTTGGATCTGAAATTTGATTTCATTCATATATGGATTACCGTTAAATATGGTTCAGTACTATGTGCGTTCAAAATGCAGACCTCATCTTGATAGAGTTCTTCGGTTAGCACTGAGCGTTAGAGTGTGGAATTGATTCGCTACTTGTAGTAACTTCCTTTTTAATGGAAAATGTCATTAAAAAACTTTCCAAAGTAAATGTTTGTTCTGCTGAAATTTATTATATTTCTGTTACATTCTTTTTTCTCTCTCTCTCTGAAACCGTATGGATTAATTTCAGCTTTAAATCCTGACATCCCGGATGATTATACTGCACCAAATGCTACCGGTTCCCCCTCTCCAGCACCAATACCGATTAGTCAAAGTCTAGCGAATCAGTTGAGTAATCGTATTATAACAACCAGTCCAAGTATAAGTATTCCTGGCAGTCATCAAGTGAAATCAACACATTTACTAAATTCGCGTTCGCATAAGCCAAACATGGTTGATGGTAGAAAGCAGTTGCATCATGCAGAAGTTTTAGTATCTATCAGTAAATCATCTCCAGACTATGATAACGCTTCTCGTTCATCCTCATTGATACACTCATCGAATGAATCGTTTCATAAAATCGATAAGCAGTCTAGACCAGGTGTTGTTCGAGATCGAGTTTGGAAAGCCCCAAGTTCTGAACGAGTTGTCCGATGTGTTGAAACAATTATTGTGCGTATTCGAAGTTTGGTAGAGGTGAGAATATTTTGTTAGTTTTTTATACTTTTGGTTATGTGTCTCCAATCGCAACTCAATCAGTATTTGAATGAACAGTATTTTCACCATTTACTTTTGCTGCTCACATTTTGTGATCGGAGTTTTTATCATTATTATCTGACATATATATTTCACATTTCTGAATGTAAGTCAAATTATCGGTTTAGTAGCTATTAAAGCACTCAAATTCATATAATTGAATGCAGGTCTGAAGCTCACCAAATCAACTTTGATTTTGTACAGTCTGTCAGTATCATTGACACTCATTTATATGTGTGTTGCTTGAACAGGGACCCAATAGACCTCAATTATCCAAAATCAGATATCTTTTCACGAGCTGGTATCAACCAACTGATTTCTTTGAGCTCCATTCCTGTTCTTACCGGACTGTTCATCTAGTTATATGACCTATAACGTGTATCAAATATGGCTATTACCATTCACGATTAAATTAATGCTGTATTTCAGGTGCTCTGACTGACATTATTTAGCATCATAATAAAATACTTAAATACCTATATCAGCTAATATATACTTGTACTATTACGCTATTTATTGGATTATCTATACTACCTAATCACTTAGTGATACTGACATATTTCCGCATCAAATACAATGAAATGTGTTCAAGAATCTTTCATCTATCTAATTGGTTCAGTAGTATTTTTCTTGTATGACAGATTTAATTTTTTATTGGTTATATATGAATTCAGCACATTCCTCTTGATGCTATATTTTCATTGATAAAAGACATGATTACTTAGTTTAAGAGATGCACTCAAATCATGAACTGATCAGTGTAAAACCAACATTGGAAACCTGGAACCGTTGTAGTATTCACAATTAAGTAAAAGTATCAGCGTTTGTTTATTGTAATAGTCTGAAGCTAGTTAGCCAATAATCGTTAAAGTAAAACCTGATACGATGTATCAGCTCAAGTTATCAAACCACAATAGATGAAGTTATTATGGTAAATGTTCGAGAAGGAGAATTAGTTAGAGCATTAAATATACCTAGTCTTTTTGAAGTAGATTAGTAGTTTTGTAAAGTTGATAGATTTTAAGTCATTATATCTATGGAACGTTTCAGTTTTATCTTTGGCAACATCCAATGATCAATGTCTTTAAACAATTAAATTGCAAGTTCTTATCTTGTCATTTTACCTTCGGATTAAGTAGTCAGACAGACATTGTTAAATCAATTTATCCCCGAATTCAGTTCTACTGAAGTAAACTAAACTCATGAATTAGCGTTTTATATCTAACTTCAATGTACAATGAAACTATAGATTGATAACTACTTGTAAAGTTCTTTTACCAGAAACACCAATCAAGGTGTTTCGTGTATGAAATTACGAATTGTTATATTAGTTTACTTAAAACAATTTTTGTTTAGTTGACCTTGTGATTGTGACGTAAAATCCGATAGATCTTATTTTTGTTTCGTCTGCATTTCTCTTATAAGAATAAGTTTGTAAATAGTAAAACCTAATTAAATCAAATGATTCATAAAATATACTTCTGATCGTGTTTTGAAATCTGTTAATTTTATCAAACTATAGTGTTTGTGCATTTAACAACTAACTCATCATTGTAATATTTCAATGATGCCATTCATTTGAATGTATACCTCTATTCCAACTGGTTTCTGTCAACACACATTGTAAAAAGCAATCACCGTTGATAAACTGATTAATTTGTGTGATAGTGCAACTTTTATTACATTTAAGTCCAATGTTATATCGTTTCTTTTATTTTTCACATCCATACTACAACTTAGATTGCCAATGGTGATCGTCCTGGTAACAATAATAGTGCTCACTGTTCCCGTTTAATTCAATTAGCTGTGAAAGATTTACTAAGTTTATTTCCTTCTGATGAATCTCGTCCAACAGAGGTGAAGAATGCATTGAATAATCTTGCAACAGAATCAGAGAATTTACGACAACATTGTGAACAAATCATCACTTCATCTTCCTCCACATCTCTCTCTTCTCCCAGTACTGTTGGACCTATCAATCATGGTAGTCGACCAGTTCCACCGGAGATCACCGTTCTAATACGTCATGCTCATAAGATTGCTAGAGCTGCAAAGGATTTACTGTCGCTTTTTCAACGATCTGATCAATGAATCGTTTGTGTAATAATAACAATAATAATAATAAACAAACTTATATCATCATCATCATCATTAGGGTTATGCAATTTCTTGCTTAATTTACTTATTTTCTCTATAATCAAAATATCAAAAAAGATAACAATGTACTGAATTGTATGCGCGCCGTCCTTGTGAATAAAATCCCCAGCATTGTTGTCTAGTCACCATAATAGGAACCCTCATTTCCATAAATTAGCAATTATACTTGTATGATTTATTTACAAATCGGAACATTGGTTGTTGTTGAGCTTTTCATTAGCTGTAACTTATTTATTTCAATCCTTTTTACCACAGGGTGGAACGATCTTATTTTGTGTTATTTATTTTTAAATGATCAATTTATTTCTAACTTTGTGGATATTTCTCTGTATGAACTCTTCGTTTTTATCAATAAGCGTTTACAGTTTGTGATGTTGTTGCAATCTCAGTTTACTTTCTAGTGTGTATGACAAATATAATTGCATTCTTCTCGTTTATTTTCACTACTTCAAGATAAAAGCGGCATTTTTTGGTCTACCGTGATAATGAAAACGATGCCCCTGGTGAAATATATGATTATTTTCTGTTTATCATCATTATTTCTGTAGGTATATTAGAGAAATGCGTGTTAAGACGTGTTCTGGATTTACCTCGGTCATCCTGTACTACTTTGAACTGCAACTCTGTTGATTACATATTGAGTGATGATCTACTCAAATATCTCGAGCGTTTTTGTGTAGTGATTCATTCTTTGAAGATAAAATTAGAAATATGAGTTGCTTTTGTAAACAAATATTGTGTGGGCGAGAGGAAATCGTGATTGGTTTTCTTAACAGACTGATAGGTAGTCTGACAAGTAATCAATGTCACATATTTCTTTACTTCTTGTACTTGATTGCTGGCTGACACACGTACTAGTCAAGCGAATCACGTGTTCGCTGCCTGGGCTATGTTGATTCCTGGTAGGATAGTGCCGGCTAGGTATATGTAATATCGATCGAGGGAATTGGATGCACATAAATCGTTTATTCTTTGTTCTAAGCAATTTAGTGTTCCATTCGTATAAAGGAGAAATACGAGTGTTATTTCAAAAAGGTGTATTCAATAATATATATCCAATTAGTTAGTGATAAAGCTTCTGAATAATTAATTTTATCGTTTTGTACACTGTACATTAGAAATATATTCATTCCAACCCATAAAATCGAAACGGAAATATGTGCTCATGAAACCCTACATTTGTTTATATTATTGATCACGAACAAAAGACCAGTTTTCATTCGAATCTGTCGAATAAAGTTTTTCATCTAAACGTGTCCTATAGGACTAACTAGCATGTTTATTAGAGTATGAATCAACCAGTAGTTTAATTCTCGAAGCCTTTCCCCAACACAGTCACTCAATCCTACTCAAATTATCTACAAAGTACATGTCAGAATCTTGTGAATAAAAGAGTTATCAGTCAATCCAATTTAAGTTTTGTGTTAAAAGCAACGTCTACTGACATGTTAACCCTCTCCTAACTTTAACATACTTTATACTAAGCTTTTATCACCTGTTTGTTTCTTCTTCACCTCTATATTAATCGAATAGATAATTAGCCTCCATAGTCTGCCAGCTATTTTCAACCTTTTTTTTATAGTGAAATTTCCGCACACCAAACCAAACGTTGTAGTAGATCATTATTCATACTGATTATCTATAAAGTAGTTGTAAATGTTCAAGAAATGATTTTATCGGAAAAAAAAATTCGATCTTCCTATGTGCATGTGACCTGTTGGTATAACTTGTGTCCAACTAGTTAGACAATTTTGTGCACATCCTTTTTCGAATAGATAAGTCTTACCAGACGGGAACTTTCGTTTATGTTTTATGGCCTTGGGATCTGACTCCGATTTGAACGAACAAATATGCTATGAAATGAATCTTCCCTTAGTAAGCAATGCAAGTACACGCACGAATAAACGGCAAGGCTAAAGGATGTGTAAATAATGACTCGAGAATAGATTAGTTAGTTTGTTCAAAGGGCTGGGACAAGGCATATGAGCTCGACATTTTAGTACACGCTACATACAGCGCACAGCCAATTGGATGCATACGAAGTATTCAGGTATTACGTATTGGTCAATCGGTCAGCTACAACGTAGAACTTCGTACGAATTTACATCAGTTCAGGTTGCCATACCACATTAGCATAGAGATGCAATTATCAATTAAAATTCCATAGAAGTAGAGGTAGTAGAAGTATTAGAGGTAATAGAGAAGATTAGGGCTCAAAGATATTATTCAAGAAGTATAATCCAGTGGAATAAATCCAAAAAATCACGAGGGATTCGGATTATAATTTGAGCAAACACAAAGAATGGATGCACCTGCACCGTTGCAAACCGATTTGAGCCGTCATCCAAGGTCTGTAACCATTGGTTACTATCGTCTCGCGAACACCAAACTGGTAGTCTACACCCACTAACATGGCTCTATCTAGTTGTCAGTGACCTCATGGATTTGTGCCATTTTTGGTCTTCCCGTCCCTAGCTTTCTACCAGCCTAACCCTACACCACAAAACATCGCTCGTCTGGGTGTAGTCAGTGGTTGGGCATACGTAACACATGCCCCAACCATCTCCACACTTCACCGACTGATTTCCCATCCTTAACTAGTACTCGTATCCTCACAACTGCATTGCTTACTCGACTGTCCCTGGATATATACGAGCAATGCATCGAAGACACCGGTGGTCGAGTACTAACAGCCTACGAATATCCTCTACTCCTACTGGCCATGCTTCACAGCCATAAAGTGGTACGTAACACATGTCCCGACAACCTTTACCGATGAGGACTCGCTACTTCACCAATTAAAAGAGGTATCTAACAATAACGGCGATTTAACTATACAGCAACACAATACCACTGAAATATTGTGAAAGCGAACCAAAAATAAACAACAGTTTGTTCTAAAAGGATTTGTTTACTTGACCTGAGGTGGAAAGATGTAAGAGTTATCTGGCGCACCATGAATTTCGTCTTCGAATCAGACAAGTTAGCGAAGTTCGATACCCACTTTTTTAGCTAGGTAGTTACTAATTCAATACTCTGGTGGGCTAGACCATAAAAAGAATCCTAGATTTTTGGTACAACAGCCGTAGTTTATTAAAATGCTAGTAAACCTGGTAAGAGACTCTGGTTTAGGGAAACATATCTTATTTTTTGTAAGTAATCACTGCCAGAGAAAGAAGACATTAATTCAGAGGAACGACAATAATTATTATTCAATTTCTATATTTACAAATACTTATGTGACATGATTATGAAAAACGAACTGGGCGCACAATATAAAGCAGGAAATCTGAACGGACTAATTGGAAGATAGTCACTGGCAAGTAAAAATGATATGAAAATAAGGCGCAATATTTTAATAG